GAGTGAGTGAGTGAGTGAGTGAGAGGTAGAGAGATGCATCTGGGTTATGAAAATGGTCTAAAAAAGGTTCATTTGGGGTTCATTTGGGACCAGGTTTGACTAACACAATAATTTCCTTTATTAGTGTATGGACCCTCTCATAAATCCTTGCTCACCCCCTGGCAACCCCTTGTATAAAATTTTAGCTCCGCCACCGGATGATGAGATTTCCAAGCTTCTCTGCTGAGGAACACTCAGAAAGACAGAAAGCATTGCCATCGGAATTTTAAAATTAAAAAAAATCAGGGAAAATTACTTCAGCTCCTACTACTTTGTTACTGTATTTGTAAAACACAGCTCACATGTGCTTATATGTTTCTGAAATGTATATGTGCTGGGGAGTGAGGAAAATCAAAAGAATTTTAGCTACAGTGAGATCAAATTATAAGAACTCTTGCGTCTGTCAGACTTGGTCAATGCGCATGGTGCTGTGAGGTATGGCTGGCAAGTACATGCTTAAGGGGCCACTCTTCTGTGGGAACAGACAAAAGACACTCATCAAAAATCTACTAGAGGTTATTCAGAAAAAATCTTCTTTTAATGAAAAAATAATTAGTAATTTGAAGTAGGAAAATATGTTATCAAAAAACAACACGACCTGCAAGCAGGTCCAAGAACCTGATGCAAATTTAAGCACACCTTTCTCTGGGTGCTCAAGTGGAAGGTTGTCATTGAATAAGGTAAAAACAGCTGTTTTAATATGTATGCGTTTGTACGCTTGGCCAAGGTGAGACTCCCAACTGCAGTGCATAGTACCAAGATCGGTTCCAGCCTCGGACAAGGGAGGAGTGCAAGGAGTGCAAGTCTGAGCTAAATATAATCTCTTTGTGTTGCCCCTCATTCACAAGTGTTGATGCATAGTATTATGTGCAGAAGGACATGTAATCTTAAGTGTAATAAATTAAATCAAATTAAGAAAATGTGAAGAGGGCGCCCGGTTAGCTCAGTCGGTAGGGCTGGCGACCCATATACAGAGTTGCTGCAGCGGCCTGGGTTCGAATCCGACCCTTTGCTGCGACTCATCCCCTCTCTCTCTACCCCCTTTTCCTGTCAATCTTCAGCTGTCTCTATCAAATAAAGGCATGAAAAGGACAAAAAAATAACTTTAAAAAAAAAGAGACAGTTAAGGAACAGACAGACATGTCTAAATGAATTACAAGCTGTGTGACAGCAATTAATCTATATATATATATATATATATATATATATATATATATATATATATTAGTGCTGTCAAACGATTAAAATATTTAATCGCGATTAATCGCATTAATGTTATAGTTAAGCAATTAATCACATTTTTATCTATTCTAAATGTCCCTTGATTTCTTTTTGTCCCATTATCTTTTCTCATTTTAATGCTCTTATCAACATGGAAAAGTGGATCGGCTTGCTTTGTGCAAATATTATTGGCATCCATTTCGGCGTCTCGCGCTCGCCATCCAATCAAAACGTAACGTCTACTACTCTTAAACAAGTATGTGCGGCGTGCCTGTTGTTTTGTTTCCGGTCTAGCTAGATCCGGTGTGGTGTTGTAGTTTTTCTAACGTTACTAGTTGTTGCAACAGCATGTGAAAAAAACTACAAAGTGTGCTAGGCCAAAAAGAACGTTAATCTCGCGATAAAAACAATGATGCTGTTAAAATGGGTTTGCGTTAACGCCATTAATAACGTGTTTAACTGACAGCACTAATATATATATATATATATATATATATATATATATATGAAAAATGATGTACTACAATTGACATCAGCACTAATGTTTTTGCAGGAGAGTTTAACTAAGTTTGTTGTCCATTTCTCTTTTTTTTGGTCAAGAATTTCCCCATTTGGGAGTAATAAAACAAATATTCTTCTTATGAACCGCCTCACTTTTTACTCAAGTACATTTAGGGAGAAAGATCAATACTTTCATGTTTTTTTGTTTCTTTGTTGGAGGCTGGCGGTCTGCTGCTCACAGTACTGTTGTGGCTCTGTTATCAGATTGCCAAGTCCCCTCATGTTATAAGATTTAGATCCGAACCCCCAGGACAGAACAGCTCTTGGCTGTGAGGTGATATTTGCATTGTGGCTGCATTTGGCATTGCTGGATCATGTGATTCAGACTGGTTAAAAAATACTTTTTCCCCCATACACAATTATTACACAGGAGGAATGGGTGTAAAACAATGTATTAAAACACTGCAGTTATGCCATAGACTGTATATGTATTTTTAGATGGACTTAGCAAGGTGTGACGCCACCTGGTGTTGTTTGAATCAGTTGATTATAACTGTGATTACTGAGATTAATAACTGAGAAAATTGATGGAACATATAAGCTACACTCACCTTAACTAACAAACAATTAGAATAATGTGCTAAATAGACTTCAGCACTAAAGTATTTGCTGCCCAACTAAGTTTTTTTGGATATGATTCTTGTCATGTTTCACTCTGAAGAGCATTTTGGGACAGAAATTAATACTTTTATGACATTATATTCAGTTACTCCGTAACACTACTTTTATTTGTCCACAGTTAACAGACAGTAGCATGTCTGTCTGCACTGTGTTTATATCCACAGGTTAAAAACTATATACAGCATAATGCATTAAAACATTCAAGGACCAGTGTGTAGGATTTTGTAGCATCAGCAGTGAAGTTGCAGATTGCAACTAACTGAACACCACTGGCGTCTATATTTGATGACCTGGGAATGAGAACAGGCTGTAAAGTATATTGGAGAAACTATAGTAAAACACAGAAGGCTCTATCTACAGCCAGTGTTTGATTTGTCCATTGTGGGCTACTATAGAAACATGGCAGTTCAACATGGAGGACTCCATGGAAGGCAACCCGGGTGTCTGTAGATAAAAATGGCTCATTCTAACATACGAAAACACAACAACAATTCCTATATTGATTGTACACTAATGAAAAACAAAGCAAATGCAATAGGGTTCCACCATTGGTGCTTTGACCCCTAATAATAAAAAAAAAAACATACAAAACCAACACCGTCAGACCGCAAAAAAGCAACAAGGACTAATTATATCCCCACTTAGCTGTTACTTTCACAAGCATCACTGTACTGTATAGCTGACAACAGTTGAATAACAGAATCTAAAGCAAAGCCTCATAGAAGAGCTTTGTAAAAGGTCACTGTTGCCACTAGGTGGCGCTATCACTATGTGTTCAGGGCGGGACTCTTATCAGACATGTTAAGTTTCGTTGCAGTCGGATCATGTATGCAGAAGTTATGACGAATCCCTCTTTTTATGGCGAAGGATCGAAATTGGATGCCACGGGACACCACGCCACGGGCAGGAAGTTTGACGAAAAAAACTGAAGAGCACAACTTTTAATGGTGAATGTGTTTAGATGGCTGTGTCCAAATCTGATGTCGGTCCAATAAATGCCCTAGGAGGAGTTCGTTCAACGTGTGCAAATCGCAACAAAATCCAAAATGGCCGACATCCTGTTGGGTTTGAGGTATGGGTCCAAGAGACTTTTTTGGTTCTTTTATCATGATACACATGCGTAGCAATTTTCATACATGTCAGTCATACATGTCTTGGGGGCTGACTCTGGGGGGCGTGGCTAAGCCATTTTGCGACGCCCATCCGCGGGACCAAGACAATACCTCGGCGTTCGGGACCACCGAATGCTGTGTAAAGTTTCATGAGTTTTCAGGCATGTTTAGTCCCCCCAAATTGTGATTTTTTTTTATTTTTGCCGCGTCGCCATGGCAACATGGTTCCATGCAGATTCTTAAGATTCATAATATGTGATCCTCATCCTCCTAAGGAACTTCTCACATAATTTCAGCTGGATCTGGTCAATATGCTTGAAGATATAAATAAAAGTACAAAAAATACATTTCCTTTCACCACTAGGTGGCGCTCTGACTATTACTGAATATTATCACATAGACATGTTCAGGGCGGGACTCTTATCACACATGTGAAGTTTCGTTGCAGTCAGATCATGTACGCAGAAGTTATTAATTAATGATCCCTCTTTCATGGCAAAGGTTTGAAATTGGATGCCACGGGACGCCACGCCACGGGCACAATGTTGGACGAAAAAAACTGACTGCACTGACCAATTTTGAAGTAGATCCAATAGAACCTGTAGGAGGAGTTAGTTAAAATAGAAGCCCTGAAATGCCAAAAATGACATCACAGTGTGACATTCGTTCAAAATGGCCAACTTTGACGGCACGCCACGGACACGCCCTTCAACGTACAGTCATAAATAGCACAACTTGTAATCAGCAACATTATTCAAGAGTACTGTCAAGTTTTGAAGCAGATCTGATAAATTCCATAGGAGTTTGTTTGTTCAAATACAAAACCACGGACTTAAAAATGGCCAAATTTGACGGCATGCCACGGACACGCCCTTCAACGTACAGTTACAAATTGAACAGCGTTCACTCAGCACCATGTTTTGACTGTACTGACCAATTTTGAAGCAGATCCGATAAATTCCCTAGGAGGAGTTCGTTCAAATACAAGCCCAAAAAGGCAAAATGACCACAAAATGATGAAAATTGAAATTGCAGACTTCCTGTGGGTTTTGAGGCTGCTTCTTTTATCATGATACACATGCATAGCAATTTTCATACATGTGGGCCTTACATGTCTCGGGGGCTGATTCTGGGGGGCGTGGCTTAGACGTTTGGCGGTGCCCGTGCACGGGGACAATGTCATATCGGTATTTTAGCTACGTTTGAATTTTGTGCAAATTTTCATGCCATTTTGAGCATGTTGCAGGGGCCAAATATGCGGCCGAAGTCCCAGAGGTATAATAATAATTCCTAGAGGAACAATAGGGTCCTTGCACTTTTTAGTGCTCGGTCCCTAATAATTCCTAGAGGAACAATAGGGTCTTGCACTTTCAGTGCTCGATCCCTAATAATTTATACGCAACATTAGCAGAATAATATATTCTAAACCAGTGTTTTGTTACTTACGTATTGCCTTTGGTGATTTGAGGACAACGTAACAACAGTAGAGCATCAGCAGGCCTGTGAAGATGAGGATGAGGATCCCCAGAGTGAAACCAGCCTGAAGGGATAAAGACAACACGGAGTATTACGTTTTCAGTTTTTGTTCTGTACGGCAAATTTAAAGTGCATCCATACTGCAATTTTGCATTTCAAGAACAACTGAGGTAAATACAAAACTAGTCATTTTAGATGTGGCTTTGAGGAAGCCAAGGACTTGAAGTACAGGGAATAAAGCAAATCACCTGCTTTATACCCCAAGGTATACTGAGTATGGATGTGCCCATCATTGTGTTCCATATGGCAAAACTGCGAGGAGATAAAAGTACGGTAATAATCATCGCAGACAGTTGTAAGAAAAGAACATTTAGCGCAGGTGGGTTACTGACTAATGATGACAGGGCTTACATGGTGATGATACTGGGGTTTTTGGAGGACTGGTCACTGCCTGTCACCTTGAAAGCTGTACCCAGTGGGCTGTAGATGTAGATCTCCTCTGGCCGGGGGATAACATGGTTTGGAGGACTCTGGAGGAAAAAACATCCAGATACTGAAGATGAAGCCTACACATACAGTAACATGAGCCTTTATGAAAAATAAAAAGGCATTATGTTCACATCATAGTTGTGCAATATTTAATATGTAACAGGGACAAGAAATCTTCTGGAACATATCACCTAACAAACTAAGCTATGGTACTCAACACTAGGGATGTACTTGTCTGGACTTCAAAACAATGTGTGGAAACATTGCCTGGAAATGTACTATTTCTCTATAACTTTCCAATCGGAGTTGACTAGGTAAATAACAGGCTGAACTAAACAGTCCCGTAAGCTTCAGACTAGTGAGAGGGCAGAAAGAGCCTGCACATTTGAAACTGAGAACAGCCCGCCAGGCTGTCTTAAGGCATTGTACATATCAGGAAAAAACTGTGATCCACAGCACAGTTTTAAGTAGCCCTGATGGAGATGCACTGTGTTGTCAGTGTATCAGTTCGTCAGAGAGACAATAAATCTAAATCAGCATCACTACACTGCTAAATGCCTCAGCTGTTAATCTGTCGGTATACCAAATTCAGTTTAAATTGTTGGGGTCACAATTTGACTCAAAATCAAGTCCTGATTCAAAACTTGATTCTCGATTCAGTACACAGGGTTTGCATATTGAATGAGTCATGTCATGCTGTTTCTTTCCCGGCAGACTGTAGAATCCAAAGACCAGCCAAATCCTTGCCTTCAATAAAGACTAGACTGGCTGAATTTCTTGCTGCTCTATTTTTAATAGGCTACTAATTCCAAGAGCAAACATTTGCAGTGATTGACTCGTCAGTAGCTTGACTGCTCTGGGAGAAGCCCGTAAGGGTGCAAAGTTTGCAAGGAGTGAAAAGAAAGTTGAAACTTTAACTCAAGATGGAAAAAAACTTTTTGGAAGATGTTAATTCAGAATTGTAGAATATTCTCACATTAATTGATTTTTTTCTCTACCCCTATAAATGTCGCTAAATAATACACACTGGTCTGTTCAGGACAAATGGCATTGCTGTGTGGTTGTAGCTGTGGCTATTTGATATACATAATGTATGATATACATGGTGTACATAGAATATAACAGAACTAAGATGTGGTTAATGCAACATACAAAAATAATCAACATATACTGACTGCAACATAAGCTAATTCATGGTGTGTGTCTAGATTATTTTGCTATTGTGTGACATGTATAGGTATGGGCCCTTCCTACCATGGTTGTAACAACTAACTAGTTAGTGATTGGACCTACTAGCAGCCTGTCAGATGAGCCTGTCAATCTGCTGTAGTAGTGGACTCTGCTGTTGAGGATGGCAGCCTCAGCAGAGACTCTCTCCTGCGGGTCATCTTCTACGATGTTTTTTGGCTCTACGTGAAAAGGCCTAGAAGAAGCAAACAAATGTCAAGTGATATCAAGCAATACTTAATCTCCAAACAATTTTCATAATGCTTTAAATATTTAAGTCACACAAATCGCCAAACATTCTCCGATTCCTTATGTGAAGATCTGCTGTCCTCTGTGTCATATAATTCTCAACAGAATATCTTTAGGTCTTGACAAAATAAGCAATCTGTCTGTGTCACCTTGGGCTTTGGCAACTAGTGATGGCTTTTTATAGACAAGCAATTGATAAAAAAGAAATAGAGAAATTTAACAATAAAGTAGTTAAATGCATACCTACGTTTGAATTATACAGAGCACAAATACAAAAACTATTTGTTTTGTTTTGAACATATATTCATTAAGAATTCATAAAGAAATAATTAATATGCTCTAAAACAAACATAGAAAGGGAGTGTTTGTAATGCTTTAAGTGCTAGAAAGCTAGTTGGCCACTGTGAAATACCTAACTGGATTAAAATTCACACAAACTTAATGCTAGGGTGGTGCCAAAGACACACAGACACACACAGACACACACAGACACACACACACACAGCAAACGTCTTAGTATTTGCTTGTCAAGTGAATTCCAGGAAGCCAAACTTGTAGAATGGGCCATGTTTATTATCTAGCAAACACTGTCAGAAAAGAAAAACTATCAGGGGGTCCAGGAGGTGCAGGGGGGTCCATTTCATACAGAGTCAATGTATTATGGAATTCTTGTGCAGTTCATAGACAAAGGTCTCCTCACAATAGACAAACATATGTTTTTGAATAAAGGGACACACCGGGGGTTTGATACAGAATTTGTGTTCAGCTCAGGGGTGCTAAGAGCCACCCCTGGGCATGGAGAGTATGCTGGAGATTACTATTATATAGTATTTAGTTTATTATAGTATTAATCTTTAACTCAGTTAAAGATTAACCGTTCGTACAAGACACTCTAAGAAGTAAAGCAAAAGCGCCGGCAACTCAGCTGGCTTCCTATTGGTTAGAGGATTTTGTATGTCAGACTGTAGGAAGATGTGCAGATGGATCCATCAACCCATGACCTCTGCTTCAGAGACTGTAGGGTTGATATCATTGGCCAACGATGCCATAAGGTTTGTGTCTACTTCCACAGATTCACTGATGTTGTCAGAGCTGGACTGCAATATTCTATCTCCAACATTACACAGCATATTGTCCAACACCTGACCTCTCATCACCACAGTTCTAGATAAGGAAGATGGCAGCTTGATCTGACTTGTAAAATGTTGGGAGAGAATCAGCCTTGTAACCCTCCTTCAGTGGAGAATTACAACATTTTTGTGTTTTTATCTCAACTTCCTCGCGAATATGTCTGTACGAGTGGTTCTAGCATGAGGCCCAGTGGTCCAGAGTCCTACCCTTTAATGAGACACAAAATGTGTTGATAAATCCCCAGTCATCACTAGGTCTGGGTTTCTGGTCTGGTGCAGGCACAGAACACCATGCAGCTCATTAAATGCTGCATCGGCATCTTGCCGCAGTAACATGCTTACAGCAAGGTGATGACCAGAGTGAATTCCCGGGGAAGGCAGCGTGGCGAGCAGGTGTGGGATAGAGTTTAAAGACACTTGAACCCCAGGAATTAATTAATAATTTACACCGGTTGTTGTTCATCAAAACACTCATCCGCACCATCCACACGGAAAACAGGATTCAGATGGTAGGTCAGTTCGGTCCAGCACCTTGGTGGGTAAGGCTAGGCCCATTCAGACAGAGCAATCCTCTATGTCCCAAAAAAAATCTGATCCATCCTGGATCCAGCACATAAGATACTGGGCAGTGGAGGACAGTGGGCTTGGGCTCTCAGCGTGAAGTAAGCTTGACTTCCACAATGTTTGTTCTTTCGTCTGCACTGAGACATACTCCCATTGTCATTGATGTTGCCATGGTGAACGTCTCACGTCTCCACAGGTGTGGATCAACACACAAAAATCTGGAAAATTGGTGAGCCAAATCCGGTGTTCCAGTGTGCCGTTATATTAAATTCTAAAAAATTCAAAAATAACTGGACAAAGGATCACAAACAAGCACTCTAAATACAAAAAGGCATAGTCCTTGCAGAGAAGATTATCTCTACCCATCTCCTTGTACAACAAATCTGTTTGAGATGGCACTATTCAGGGCAAAGAGGATGGTGGAACTGACATAAAAAAGAAAATCAAATAAGTAACAATGATATTAAGTGTTGAAAAACTAGCAATCACATAAAACAGCTGTCAGCCTCACTGTCTTTTAAAAAGGCACGTATAATAGCGAGAACCATCATCAGTAGGAAAAGTCAAATAATACTGAAAGCTGGACTAAGACTGTTGGTTTTGGTATGCACAAGCAATTTTGGTTGTAACTTATGTTCTTACTGAGGGTTATAACTTTATAACACAACAATGAATAAGCCACAACTAATAGGGCAAACACCATGGCACACAGTAATTTGTGACTATTTGTGAGTTTCTTACTCAGGCAATAGAACATTTGAAAATACTATTATTTAATATTAATATTTTGAGTGTTTTATTCAATTCAATTCAATTCAATTTTATTTGTATAGCGCCAATTCATAACAGAAGTTATCTCAGGACACTTTTCAAATAGAGCAGGTCTAGACCGAACTCCTTAACATTAATTACAGAGACCCAACAGTACCACCATGAGCAAGCACTTGGCGACAAGGGCAAGGAAAAACTGCCTGTTAAAAGGCAGAAACCTAGGACAGATCCTCCGGCTCTAGGTGGGTGGTCGTCTGTCTCGACCAGTTGGGGTGAGAGAGAGAGAGAGAGAGAGAGAGAGAGAGAGAGAGAGAGAGAGAGGCAGACAGACAGGTGCACAGCAACAACAGTATTGGCAATGGAAATCTAGCAGGAGTTTATGTCAGTTTAGTGTTTATACAACTATTCATAAGCTGTTTTTACTACATTGCAGATTTCAGTTAAAAATTGTTTATATTGATAATACAATATATGAAGGAATCATATATTGTATCATTTTGTGGGAAGAAAACCCTACAATAATCAAACCCTTACACTGAAATGTTCCTATACTCTATGTACTCCTGACAGTAGAATAAAAAAAAATGTTCAATTAAAATACTGTGGTATAGCGTAAAACCACCAGAATCTTAAATATATATGATACAAATTTTGGATCATACTGCCCAGCAGTAGGAAAAACTTATTCTCTGTCACAGAGCTGTTAAGTACTGCATATCAATTGTCCAGTGTTTCAGTGAAATCTACCTTTTAGCCTTGAAGTCCAGTGAGTCTGTAGAGCCTCTGTGTGAGTAGCTCTCTACAGGCTGCTCTGAGTTCAGGAGAGGCTTGCAGTCGTCCTCCATGATAGCTCTGACTCTCAACTCTCGTCACCTGACTGGGGGAAAATATGTCAAAAATCGAATCAGAGACATCACACAGCAACCATAAAACATTATTTGTGTAGTACAGCCGTTTACTTCAATCATGTGTTGTTCTACCTAGGTTCCAACTCACTTCAGCATGCAGTGAAAATTAACATTAAGATACTTGAAAACCGTAACAGTGAATATTGTGATTATAAGAGTCAAGCAAGTCTCTGAAAGATGATTTTCATACAGTCAGAACCAGATTTGGCCCAGGGAAAAAAATTTGAAGCTGGGCCCTGATTAACACCCATTCCTCGATGGAATAATACATGGCCCCAGGTTTGCTAGTGTGTAGAGACTTAAATTAAACACAAATCAATTTAGGAATACACACCATGTTAAGACCAATATCAGCTGAAATCATTATTGTAATAAACATAATTTTAACACAAATTCTAACGGTCAGATAATAGAGCAGAGGGGCCCTGAGAGTGGGGGTACAGGTAATCTAGCTTTGGTATATGTCAGAAACAAGTGGTTGCTTAAAATGGTCAAAACATCTTAAACACCATGCTAGTTTTTACTATTAATGTAAAGTACACAACTGCCTCAAGTGTGATCAATGTAAAATGCCAGTTTCAGTTTCAATTACCTCTTCCTTGGGGTCTAGTATAGCAAAATAACACATACATATTAAATATTGTTTTAATGTTGCTAAAATTATTCATCTTTGTTATTCACAGCCAATACTGATACACATTTTATAGTGTGGTTTTTCCCTTAGCCCATTACAGCTGAAACCAGACTCTAGAGATGTTTGGCACCACTACAACCTATAAAATGTATACAGTCAGGCAGTCCATTTAAAACATAAAGAAATTTGCTTCATTAATACACCAACTCCTCCCCATAATATAACAACCAAAATTGGAGGAAAAAAACCTTCTGTCTTTTGGCAAATTTAACCTTCCTTCCTTCTTCTATACAGCTATGTTCAGCAAAAAAGGCCTCAGCATTCCTACAGATCAAGCTTATACTGTTCACTTCTTCATCGTTCCTTAGTTAATACATTCCAAAGGTGCACCAGTGTTAGCCTGTTCCTCTTGGGGTTGTTGCTCTGCCACTTAGCATCTGACTAGCTTAGCTCTGTTGATCAGCAGAGACTGCACCAACAACACCAAAGACATGTGGCAGGCGATCCAGAACATCAGAGGCTACAAAAGCAGGAGCGCCCCCATCATGTGCGAGGCCACGCTACCAGATAAATTAAACACAATTTAAATTTCTCCATCTCCAAAGAATCAGCTGCTGACAGAAAATTCCTCCTGGCCCCGATAACATCACTGGCCATGTACTAAAAATATGCTAATCAGCTAGTGGATGTTAATACTTTTAACATATCACTGCCACAGAAGAGTGTTCCCCTGGTTCAAGACAACCACCCTGTACCTAAAAAGTCTGCAGTAACTGGTCCAAGCGACAACTGCACCGTGGCACTCAGTCCCATTCTGATAAAGAGCTTTGACAAACTGGTTCTCAAACACTCTAAATTCAGCACTCTCTGGGAGTACCACACTCTGTAACTGGATATTGTTCTTCCTCACAAACAGACCACGACTACTGAATTATTGTAATACTGACAGAAGATTGTAAAAAGTTACTAAAAATGTCATAAAATACTATAGAATATAGTATTATAGTATAAATATTGACTGTAAATATTCAATATTCACAGGGAATTAATTTTTATTTTTTTCAAATGCTTGTTTTACACAAACATTCATATTTGGGTTCATTGTACAGTTTCAGCCATCAATTGTTGTGTTTGTGTTGAATATAATATTAAATATCAATAAAAGATGTCACTGAGTCAGGGTCCTCAGTTTACTTAATGGCAGAAAAGGGGTCCCCTAAGAACAAAGGTTGGGAACCAAACACAGGTATTACAGACACAAGCTGTCCTCTTCCACATATCCTCTCTCACTTCAACTAGCAGTAAGCTGGGCCTGGCACCTGGAACAGCCACAGCTTCAGATAAGCTCGTACACACACAGACCCCGTGAGAACACAAAAAAAACCCTATAGAAAGTAACAAACCATGTCCGCTAAATAGCGTCTGTCAAACATCGTTTGAACCGGAGGCGTCCCACTCTGAGTGGAGCATATTTTAAAGGAAGTTACAATGTTAACAGTCACGTGAAACAGAGGCTGCGTCGTAAAGCGGGATTTCTGTTGAAATACAAAGTGCTGAGTGTGCGATACAGATTTAGCTAATTTAAGCAAAGGATGTATTCTGACCGGGTGGCGACTTTCTGTTCCCTTAATTTTACCTGAGCTAGGTTGTCGTGAAAAAGTAGACACAAACTAACTAGTAAAAACACACACTGACATTAGCTAACTCGGCCACAAGCTGTCATTATACCACAGTTACAATAAACGTTATAGCATAGTTAAAATCCGTACCAAAGTCTGCAATGAGGTGCTCCTTCCCACTGTCTTCAGCTCATCTCAGGTTTGCTGTGTCAGCAAATGTCAGAAGTTGGGCTAAAAGTCAAACGTCAGCTCACAGCGGCACCATGCTAACATAATGCTCCAAAAATAAATTAATATACAAATGACAGCTAGCTTTTACTGACGGCGGTACGACTGCAGAGGGAGTGAAATGATTAATTGAAAGTTTATTCCCTCCTAATGAGAGGCAAGCTGTGTCCGTCTTGTTGTTATTAGTCTTCTTCTGCTTTTCTGTCCTCTTCGCGTCTAGCTCCTCTTCTTCCTCTGTGGTTGGGTTCCATGAACATGAAGCTGCATTGCCGCCACCACCTGGCCTGAATTGTGTACTAAAAAAATACCATTACTATAATAGATAATCTAATGTCATTGAACACGCCGTAATAGAATAGATTTAAAAAAAAAAATTGACATGATAAACAGTGTTGGGCAGTAACCCATTACTAGTAATAATATTACTTTCCCCATTAACTAGTAGTGTAATAAATTACTAATAATTTTCATTACTCCCCCAAATTATTAGTTACTTCCTTACTTTTGTTGTCACCCCCTATTGATCTGAAATCCAACAATCCAATCACATCCTTGTATTCATTTTTGTAATTGTGGAGGAAATTAGTTTGGAAGGTGGAAATGTTTACATTCAGCATCTAGAAATCTTCCATTACTTTGATTTTAACAAAACTGGATATTCATCATCGTAAATCTGAATTTTGGGGACAACGGGCACCAATTACCAATTTTGTGGGAAGTAGCAGGAAAATAATTCAGATTTCCAACAATTCAAATTCAGTTTTATTTGTTAAAATCAAAGTAATGGAATATTTCCAGCCGTTGAATAGTTTTCATCTTTCAAAGTAGTTTCCTTCACAATTACCAAAATAAATCAAAGGATGTGATTGGACTGTTGGATTTCAGATCAGTTTAGGGTGACAACAAAAGTAATAATTTAAGTAATTATTTTTTGGAGGAGAAACAGTAATATTATTACTGAAATTCATTAGTAATTAGTTACACTACTAGTTATTGGGAAACGTAATATTATTACTCTAATACATGACATTTACAAACATTACAGCTCCATCCACTCCTTTTTTGATAACACTGACCTCCCAAAATTATCTAAAGATCAAGCCACCATATTAGATCAGCCCATAACCTCAGAAGAACTTCGAAAAGCTATCTTTTCCATGCCCAACAATAAGTGACCCTGTTCTGATGGTTACCCAATAGATAAATATATATATACACAATTAGCAACTCATATCACCGCTTTTTCACAGACTGGTCAATGAAATTATATCATCAGGATCCATTTCCACACACATGAACACAGCCCTTATTAACTACCCATCTGTATGTCTGCTAGGAGATCTTTCTACAGTTGAACCGCCACTGAAATACAAACAACCCACTCTGGTCGCCTTAACAATCGCTACATGTTCTGCACTTCACATTTTGCATTATTTATTTTTTCTTTTTTTCTTTGCTTTGTTGTATTTGTACAGTCACCATTGTAGCTTTTGTTCTTGCACAATAAAAAAAAATCCCAAAACACTGAGAGGGACATTTTACTGCACAGTAAGTACTTTTACTTTCATACTAGTACATTTTGACTAACCCTCCATGCCCACATATCATTTTGAGGAGATAAACAGTCTGTACAAGGTTTAATTCATCTGTTATATTATATTTTTTGTTTGTCGAAACTTTTTAAAACTGCAACTGTAAACTGTACTTAAGGTTCCCAAATTCCCAGAAACAAATAAAGAGGACATCATCTGTGTCCTCACTGGTAGCTACAGCCCTGTGTCAGGGTTTTACTGTAGCCTCTCAAACTGATAATACTGATCAAGAGACTGTTGATAAGACCTGCTTCAGGAGGTGAACTGGGGGTGGGGCTCAGAATCTTTTTTTTTACTAAAATTCCGGTTGTATGTAGATGAGTATTCAAACCTTAGTGTAATAAAGGAATTTACAGTTTACAAAATATAACATATTCAGATGATTACTCACTAATGGAAACATACCTATGAATATTATATTTCATTCATTTCTACCAATAGATTTTCGTAAATTTTACACACTGGACCTTTAAAAAGAATTTCACTTCATTCTTCCCATGTCTAAAGATGTTTTTGCATCCACAACCCCAACTGTTTGTTTTATGATCATACTTATCTAGGTTAAAGGTCCAGTGCGTAACATTTAAGAGTATGTAAATGGTATATAATATTCCCAGGTATGTTTTCATAAGTGTAAAATCACCTGAAAATAATAATTGTTGTGTTTTCTTTACTTCACTTTACTTTACTTTACTTTACTTTACTTTACTTTATTCCTTTATTAATCCCACAGCGGGGAAATTCCCTTGTCAAAGCAGCAATTACTTGAAATAAATAAATACAGATATAAAAAACTATGATAAAAACTAAACTATGGTATGGTTGTAATTTGAAAAAACAGAAACTACAACATTGATCGGGTGTTGTAGAGTCTGACAGCGGCAGGGATGAAAGACCTTCGGAACCTCTCCTTCTTACAACGTGGGTGTAACAGTCTGCTGCTGAAGGAGCTACTCAGGGACCCCACAGTGTCATGTAGGGGGTGAGAGGTGTTGTCCATGATGGACATGGACATCGTCCTTTCACCCACTTCCTCAATGGAGTCCAGAGGACAGTCCAGGACAGAGCTCGCTCTCCTGATCAGTTTATTGAGTCTCTTCCTGTCCCTGTCTGTACTGCCCCCTCTCCAGCAGACTACAGCATAGAAGATGGCTGAAGCAACCACAGAGTCATAAAAAGTCTTAAGGAGAGCCCTGCTTACTCCGAAGGACCTCAGTCTCCTCAGCAGGTGGAGGCGAATCTGGCCCTTCTTGTAGAGAGCATGGGTGTTGTCAGTCCAGTCCAGGTCGTTATGGAGGTGAACACCCAGGAATTTATAATTATCTACCACCTCAATGTCCAATCCTTGGATGTTCACTGGGGTAAAGTGGGATTAAATTTTTCAATTCAATTCAATTCAATTTTATTTGTATAGCGCCAATTCATAACAGAAGTTATCTCAGGACACTTCTCAAATAGAGCAGATCTAGACCGAACTCTTTATAACATTGTTTTCCTCCTGAAGTTAACAATCATCTCCTGCGTCTTGCTAGTGTTTAGCTGAAGCTGGTTGAACTCACACCAGCTGACAAAGTCCCTGATGACAGTCCTGTATTCCAGTTCGTTCCCCTCAGAAACACATCCAATAATGGCTGTGTCATCTGAGAACTTCTGGATATGGCAGAGCGTGGAATTGTGGGTAAAGTCTGAGGTGTAAAGGGTGAAGAGGAAGGTGCCCCATGTTGCAGAGCACAACGTCAGACACAGTGTTGGAGCCTCACATACTGCGGTCTGTTGGTGAGATAATCTATTGTCCATGCAGCCAGTTGTTGGTCCACTCCCACACTTTCCATCTTCACTCTGAGCAGTGACGGCTGGATAGTGTTGAAAGCAGTCAAAAAACATGACCCTTACCGTGCTCCCGCTGTCCTCTAGGCGTAGCAGGGATCTGTGCAGCAGGTAGATTACTGCGTCGTCCACCCCAATACCAGGGTGGTAAGCAAACTGCAGGGGGTCCAGCTATGTACCCACCAGGGGTCACAGGTGCCTCAGGATGATCCTCTCCATGGTCTTCATCAGGTGGGAGGTCAAGGCAACAGGTCTGAAGTGGCTAGCTTCCTTGGGGCGCAGTGTCTTTGGTAAAGGGACCACACAGGAGGTCTTCCACAGGGCTGGGACTTTCTCCAGACTCAGGCTCAGACTGAACAAGCGCATGAGCACACCTCAGAGCTGGTCTGCACAATCTTTAAGCAGTCTTGGGCTGATGCCGTTCGGTCCCAGGGCCTTCCTTGCCTTGATCTTCTTAAGTTGACACCTCACCTGATCAGCTGTTATGGAGAGGGGGGTGGAGGATGACTGGGGTGGGGGTATGGTGGGTGGTGAAAGTGTCAGGGGGAGTGAGAGGGAGGTGGTAAACTGGTGAGGGGTGGGGGGCGGGTGGACTGGTGGAGGTCAGGTGTTGAAGATGGCAGGCTGAGTAGTGGAGGGGCAGGGGGAGCTTGCCAGGGGAGTTGTGAAGTGGGAGCAGGGTGGGTGAGGGAGGGAGAGGAGGCAGAATCAAATCTGTTAAAAAACATATTAAGTTCATCTGCCCAGTCCTTATCCCCACTGGTTTGGTTTCTTCCCACTCCTTTGGCATTGTTCTGTTCCAGCCGCTTCTCCAGTTTCCTCCTGTAGCTGTCCTTTCCCTTCCTGATCTTTTGCCAGAGTTCCTTCTGGACTCTGCGCAGCTCCTCTTTGTCCCCCGATCTAAAGACCCTCTTCTTCTCATTCAGCAGGGCCTTAATCTCGGAATGAGGTGTATGCATCCTTGATGTTTGCATACAACAAGTCCAAAGTTTTATTGTACCTGGTGTGGCATTTCACCGGAGATGAGGAGGAGGGATTGGGGGTGCTGGATTTAAAGCTGGGAGACGACAGTGTGGATCTGATCTGTAGCTGCAGCAGCGATGGCCGAGGGAGGGATGTACACAGTTACAGCAATAACATGTGAAAACTCTCTCGGAAGGTAGTACGGCAGTATGCTAACCGCTAACAGCTCCAAGTCTCTGGTGCAGAGTTGCTCCTTAACACTGATGTTGGCTGGGTGGCACCATCTTTCATTCACAATCACAGCGATTCCTCCTCCTTTCCTTTCTTTCTTTTGCTTTCTTTCCTTTGCTTTCTTTCCTTTTCTTTACCTTAGAATGAGCCGTTTTTACCTACAGAGGGAGCTGGTCCTCTTCTACAGAGTCCGCCATGTTGAACTGCCATGTTTCTATGGTAGCCCAGAATGGACAAACCAAACACTGGCCCTTTTTGTCAAGTTTTTTTGCGGCCACTGTATTTTCTGATACACACTTAGAGGGCTGAGATGTATTCATGGGTGTTGGAGAATCTTACACACTGGCCAGACGAACAACAAATCATATTTTCAGTTGATTATATGCTAATGAAAACATCCCTGTGTACACTGGACCCAATAACACATTGGAGGCTCCAGCACACAAAACTTGAGATGCTAAAATAATAATAAAAATGAGAATAAAAGTGTACACACATACAAGAATATAAATATATATTTACTTTTGTCATATCTCATTACATATCTATTATTCAGTACAATAGAATGGTCCAGATGAATATTATACAGTACACTGTATCTACTTAGCCTTGAATTGCAGTGTGATAGCCAATTCATCAGATCATTGCAAATATCCACATCAGCTTGTATCACGTAACAATATGTATAGATACATACTCAATCAAAAGAGGGAGAGATACACTTATACTTAATAACTTTATGACTGTAGATGGCTTTTTATGAAGAGCAATCCACACATTTCCTTGCAGCAGAGAGTATGGGAGAGACAGTCCTGTGTGGTGCTCATTTTGAGTCTCATTGTCTGCAGAAAGCACAGCCTTGTCTTGTAATATTGTGCCATATTGTCATCAAATATGTCTTGCAGTTAAAAATATCAGTAATCAAACAAGTTACGTTAGAGGATAATACCAACCAAAATTATTTTCTACAACTTGACCATCCTTATTGTATAATAATGGCTTAGTAACTTTAATAAGGTCTTAATATCAATAATGCAGTTGTTAGTACAAACTTATAAACCTAAACTTATAAAAGAATGCCTTATTGAAAAGTAGTACTGTATTCTGTTTCGGATAAAGCAGGGTGTAAAAAAAAATCTAGGCAGGACAGAGGACTTTTTGGAGTCTCATGGTTTCAGATCCAGTTAGACTAATACGCTCCCTCAGTCTATATAGAGGAGAAACTACAATACACTGCACCATGACTGATGGTTTACTGTCATTTCCCTTCAGGAGTTCCTACACCCATTTTCATCCAGGCTTTGGGAGAAAGGAATTATGTAACTGAGTTATGTAATCCATTGCAGTTACAGAAAAAATATGTAATCAAATTACATTTCGTAAGTAAAGGGATTATTTACCAGGATTACAATTTTAAAATACAGTTTTTCTTTAAAAATACACTGAGCAGAGTACACACTTGATGCTAAGAATCTTTCTATTTTTTTCAGTTTTCATGTTCTTTTCTAAGATTACATTGTCTTATAGAGTACACTTGCATCAATACTTCTTATTGGCATTTATTTTTTCTTGATTTTATTTACATATTTGGTGTTGAGGTAATCCAAAAGTAATGGCAAGTAATCAAGTTACATTACTTGTGATACATTGATTAGGTTACTGACAATTTTTTTTAACAGGTGATTAGTAATTGAATCAGATCAATACATTTTTAAAGTAACCATCCCAGCATTGTTTCCATCCAGGCAGTGGACGTGGACACTCTGCAGGACTACAAATACCTGGGACTACATGTGGATAACAAGCAGGATTCTCCACTCTACTTTAGGTAATTCAGTGTCTGCAGTACCATGCTGAGGACATTCTACCGATCGGTGGTACCCATTGCTATTGTCTTTGCTGTCGTGTGCTAAGGCAGTATGATGAGGGCAGTCGACAGAAACACAATCAGAAAGCTCATCAGGAAGGCTGGTTCTTTCCTGGGGGTGGAGCTTCATTCTTTAGCATTAGGCCCCAAACACCTCAGAAACTCACTGTCTAAAGATGTAGTTACTCTAAATGGTATTAACTTGGCCTCCAGCACCACCATCAGGAATCTTGGAGTTATCTTTGATTAGGATATGGATACCCCCACATAAAACATACCTCTAGGACTGCCTTTTTTCACTTACTACTTCATGCATTTATTACTTCTAGGCTGGATTACTGCAACTCCTTATTATCAGGCTGCCCCAATAAATCCATTAAGACGCTCCAATTAATTCAGAACGCTACAGCATAAGTACTGACTAGAAAAAGAGATCATATTTCTCCTGTATTAGCTTCTCTGCATTGGCTCCCTGTAAAATTTAGAATAGAATTTAAAATCCTCCTCCTCACCTACAAAGCTCTTCATGGTCAGGCCCCTTCATATCTTAAAGAGCTCATAGTACCCTATTACCCCTCTAGAACACTGCGTTCTCTGAATGCTGGGCTACTTGTGGTTCCTATAGTCTCTAAAAGTAGGAATACAGGATATTGGAAGACGTCCATCTGGCATTTGGATAGCCTGTCGCATCGAGGTAAGATAATTATTCAAAATTATCTAAATTCTATAAATACTTGAATAATCTGTAAACTGTTCGCTCAAAGTATCTGAAATTATTATGATAGGCCTAATGTTTTCTTATCAAGGCTAGTTGCGTTTACAAGTGGTTGTCTTATAGCTATACGTTTTATGATTGCACGTGATTTTCTCTCACATTGTACACAGCCAAATGGACAGAAAAACGCTACCAAAAATTGCGGGCTCATCCGTACCGCCAATGTGATGCATTAACACAGAGTTTAAAATTATGTTTTTTCCTGAATAAGTGTGTGTTATGATTTCATGATCAAGTAGAAGCTTCCTTTAACATTGCACATCATGTTTTACATCTCAGCAAAAGCACACTGTTATGCATATATTATATATTGGTACTGGCTGGAGCCTTAAAATGGAAAACAAATGGAAGCACTGATAATGCTGTAAAACATTTAATGAACAACATAAAAAGAAAGATGATCAATACAACAAATAAACAAACACATTTTCTTTTTCAAAATTCTTCTCCATCAACAATCATCACAAAGTTTTCCAAACTCAAACAACTTTGACCATTCAAAGATTATATTGATGTTTGCTGTCCTATAACTCTGCTACATGACAAAATGATTTAAACACATTAACATCTGAAGAATTAAGAGTACAAAATGATGTCATTAGATTGTCTATAGATCTTTTAGACCTTTGTCACAACGGCAGTGTAACTGTAAATAGACATTTTTCTTATAAATAGAAACCACCTCATGACTGACTGTTTAAAGTTTGAGATACTGTTGGTTTACGTTGCCTTTATGACAATTTCCATATTTGATCATTCTTGCTCAGGGCCACAAACAGGCTCAGCCTGGTTTGTGTCGTGGCTGTGGAGGCTGGTAATGATGACATTTACAGTTAGACTTCACCGTTTGTGATCAGGTAGGATTTCTGCCACCTACTATGCATTCCACTTCTAGTCTTCAGTTGGAAATTCCCTGCCAACAGAGTGTAATACCTCCATGTGTTCCAGTGATGTAGCTCAGAAAAAAACAGGGGAGAACATGAACAACACTTCAACTTTCTTTGTCAGATTTAAAAAGCTCCTTCCCAACAAACTTGCACTAAACATATGTTTAGAGTGAAAGTAACACTGTGTGCTTGAGTTTCAGAGAATGCCGACATGTGGTTAGATTTCTGTATCATACACCAGAGTTGGAATAATAATTTGAAGGGCTGTTGCATGTTAAAAAATAGAAAGTTGGAATTTCCAAATTTCCGACATCTTTGGGAAGCAGCATTATTTGAGAACAGTACTAGGACATCAATTTTCTCTTTATTTCTTCGTTTGATAGTTCCTCTTTGCATGCATTCAGCTGGGGTCCATAAAAGCACCTTTATATAATGTAACATAGCACCATTTTTTCATATAGTTTTCCTATTATACTGGGACCCAACCATTGGCATGCATACACTCTAAAAACTTTATTTTCTTTGCAACATCGTTTTAAACGTTACAAGGCAAGTAATGAATATTCATACAGTACTTTACATGTAGAAGATGAACTAATACAGTACACATAAAGAAAGTGCTAGAGTACAAAACTTCCTTGTTTTTTGAAGTCTTACGCTACAGGACTATAGGACACACCAATGTATTACATTACATGTATCTAAATATACACCTTTTCACATTTTCATTATTCACTTCAGTTAATTTTTAAATGATTACCAAACATCGACATCTCTACATTTCCCATTCCAAAACTCTGATGCTGAACGGAAAGCAAAACAAAAACAGCAAACCAGAACATTTTCTTCAGTATGCATACATTCACATCACTCTACCTGCACAACCACGGATACACATACACTTTGTCAATGTGTCCCACCTCTTTACTTTGAATACTCATTATTCTGAAATGATAATTTTCACACTGGATATGATAATGCCATCCGAATGTATCGCAACAATCCCTATGAGAACTAGTTTTCTGTTGGTTTTCGACTTTTTATTATTTCTAATTGCTAAAACAAAGCACAATAATCAAAGATACACTAAAATGGTAAAGGTGCTTTAAGGTGTCAGGGTTGGAAACATTAGATCTTTGTTAACAGTCTAGATCTTTCAACAAGTTGTTCAAGTCCAACACCCTATAGCCCTCCTGCTGTAGGTCCCTGTTGATTGTCCACTGAAACTTAGATTTTGTTGTTGACAAACACTCAGTTACTGTTTATACTTTCCTGAGTGACAAGGAAGAGCAGCTGTGGTCAAAATGTGTCTGAATACACTGTTTCTTGTTGTGCCTTCATACTTCTGTGATGACTGTGACGCTAACTGAAGCACTGACATGGATCTAGCCACATGTTGGCAAAAATATAGACATTACTGAGCCTACAGATGGACAGCCGAGAAGTTGAGCTCATTGTTGACCTCGAAACAAAAATCTTAACTAGTTTAAGCATAAGCATAAGCATATATGTCGCTTTTTTAACCAGCTTCAAAATGGGGTTGGCTTCAAGTACATATCAAGTACAGGAAAGGAAGAAGTTGGCCGAGGTTCTGATCGAGGCTTGCTCAACTGTTATTTGGGCAAAAAGCAAAAAGGAGCAGGACTTAGGAAGGGACTATTATAGATATTTTTACACAATAATCTTTTATTTATTAATCTTGCCACTATTGGAATCCAATGTCACTGGAGTCAAGCTGAACACTGCTGTTATTCTCTGTCAGGGAGGATTCTACAACTTCATTTTAAGTTGGACGAGGGAGTTAAATACTATAATTCAAGATCACCAGTTTTCAGATCGATTTAGTTTCATTCATGTCAGTATATCCATAATTTCCGAATAATTTATGTTTCCTGGAAAGAACTATGTAATTTGGCAATAATTGTAGGGACATTTTATTGATTATTATTTGGACATAAAACTGAAGTTGAGCGCACCTGAGATGTTGCTAATAATCCACAGGAAAACTGTGTGCACAAAACTAAGAAAGTAAGAACAGAAGTTCAGATTTGAAGCAGTAAGTAAGGCTGTTAACTGTCACTGATATTCCTGGTGGCTATCTTCAGCGGTATGTAAGATATTTTCCCAAATTCTTTCAGATTCAACTCTCTATTTTCAAGACCTTTGAAATCATTTGACATAGGGTTGAGCTGCTCTGTCAAAACAACAGTGCTGGAAATCAATCAGTAATACGATAAAAAATTATTTGTTGGAGAATGGGATCAAAAAGCAAAGCACCAGTATGCTTCTTTAAGGGGAACAAAAAGCATAACAAAAAATAATATATTAAATACCCAATTTTTATTATGCAAATAAGAGACTAACATTGTTATATATACAGACAAAGCATTTGCATCATTATTTATGTATTTATTAAATTAGATTTTGTATTTTGTATTTGTTATTCTTTTAAATCAGGGTCACTAATTTTAGACAAGACACTCAGCTCTCTTAAGAATCTTTTTAGCTCTGCAGTGTGATATTATTTCCCAACAATAAGGAAAGTCCTCATGGGGGTTCCAGCACTGACATCCAATACATAATTTTGATTCTACAGAAAAGAAGCATACGGTACCAAAGGAGAAAACATAATGATGTAGAGCTGTAATAATTTTCCTTTTCATCCTAAAAAATGTTATATTGGTCTTAAAAAATGCTGTGAAATGAGCACAAAGCCATGACATGAAACATAAGAGAGTATTGGATTCACCAAGATGGAGATACTTTTGATAATATATGATACTAAAGTTGTAATTTTGTTTGCAAACCAAAAAATTCAATGAAAAGACATCTAACCTGTTTTATATAAGCTGCAATGTCCTGTTTGTGCAATCACTTTGAACTCAGTCAAATTGAGTTCAAACTAACTAGAACAAACAAGTAATTCATTCAAATGTATTTGAATGTAACCCACATAATCGAATGTCAAACTAGCACACATTGGCCTGTTCAGCTGCTACATTAGTCTTCAGCTGGTTTGGTGTCATAAATATCAGTTCACCACATTTTCCAAGACAACAGGGCTTGGATCAGACAGACAGTACATTTTATGAATACCCCTCATTGGACTACAAGGCAAATTCAAACAGATTATTGAAATGGACATTACAGTTTTTAAAGCTGCAGTAGATAACTACAGTTGAAATGAAAAACGCATTTTTAACCCTTTAAGATTACATCCCCAGCCATATTGCCTATTCCAAAAATCAAATCCAATTTTTTTTTTCTGTAACACAACTCTTACTATCTTGACATCCACCTATCAATCTTCAACTTTTAGTGACACAGAGCGAAGATTTATTTGTTAGCTAGCTAGCAACAGCATGGATTTCTGCCAGAGCTGACCCTTTCTGGGGGGCTGGGCCTCACTGATTACTGTACAAAAACACAACTGGTCGAGACAGACAGCCATATACCTAGTGCCTGTCTGAGGTTTCTGCCTCTTAAAAGGAATTTTTTCCTTGCCGCTGTCGCCAAGTTCTTGCTCATGGTGGGTAGTATTCGGTCTCTGTAAATAATTTCATAAGGACTATGGTCGAGACCTGCTCCATTTCAAAAATGAGATAACTTTATGAATTGGCGCTATACAAATAAACCTGCATTTAATTGAACTTCATCCCTGTACAAAAACAAAGCTTTAGCACAGCTTTTTTAGCAGTAATTTTGGTGAAACTGGATTTTATGGAAAAAAATATTGACATCCTCAGGCTGCTCTGCCACAACTCCTTCACAGGGGGACGTAACGGACATTCTGCGCTCCCTAGGTGCCTGTTTTTATAGGAAAAATGTAAAGCAAATATTGTATCCTGACAGTAGTGCATGAGACAACTATTTTTCATCCATTAGCAGCACTAGGAGGACCAGATTTTTTCTCAGATTATCTGTTTTTTTTACTGTCAGTATACAGTGTGTTTCAGCAAATAGCACAAAAAGTTAATTTTAAAAAGTTAACTACTGCAGCTTTAAATACAGTTACGTAGTTTGTGCTGTTGCCAAACAATTCTATACAAAAGATGTTCAACTCCAGACTGTCAATTCAGTGAAACCCCAATCATGATGTGTGTAACTGCAGCTCATCAGATTCTATAAGCAGGGATCCATGATTGTCACTTTACACCAAAGGCATGGATAGAAATGGTCCCTCTATGTCAACTGATTACAAAGCAGCAGAACAAAAGTGCAACCTTTATTTAAAGTGCTTTTTGGAGTGATATTTGGAATTCAACAGATGACATTATATCTTTTAAGGAATTTGTATTCCACATTCAAGAGAATAAATACCATAGCTTTGTCGTAATATCCCAGCTGAGGCAAGATTTCATCTTTGAGAAAATTTGCCTCTTGGGCCAAATTCACAAGCCATCAATGCTGAATCAAATCAATGTAAAGAACTGTGTATATATTGTAATTCCATTTCATTTTTTGAAATAAATTGTGCTTTGAATTATACTTCCTACACTGGTTTATATAACTTTAGCAATTTATATGAAAATAAAACAACTCATTGGATCATTAAAGTTCACGCCCTACACTAGACAACAGACACAAACCAAACCCAACTAGTCCTGCACACAAGGCATCACAAGAATGAATGCCACCAGTACAAATTTTTTTAACACAGATGTTTCTGCATTTTGTTTACCTCCTACACAAGACCAGTCATTTCATTGCACCTCAGCAATAAACTTAAAGCTGACCATAGTCAGTACGCCGTAGAGACACTGAGAGAAAGGGCCCGACTCAGTCACTTCTGTGGCTCGTACGTGGTTTGAAATGTGCATGTTTGACTTGCTTCTGTTCAGACATGGACTAGTCAGCAAGTGTTCTTGTTGCCACTGAGACTTAATAGGTCATCTGAAACATAACTATTGTTGCTAAGGTTACTTAGGTGCAGTTTAATACACCTTGCACGCTGATTTAGAATGGACTATATACTAAATGGACAAAACTATGTTTAAATTGTCTCAATATACACTTTTCATGGACATTGTTTGAATATACTGTCTAGAAGAAATGTTTTTACAGACTGTATGACATATATCAGTGTTTCCCAAATATTTTTTCTGGGGACCCACTTTTTTAAGAATAATAAACCGCGGTGACCCAATTCACAGTGAGAAGACCAAATTTGTGCATTTTTACTTAAAAATTACTTCAAAAGTTAAATACTTTTAAATAAGACCTAATGAATTAATTTAAGCGGAGTTACTGTAACAGGCTGTCCCATTGTTTTTATTTCCCCTCGTCAGTAAAACAATACACACATTTTAAATACTTAATAAATGATACAAAATAAGAGCATTTAGGTGAAGCAAAAATTCTGAAAATGAACATAAGACAAATGACATTTCTGCGACCCAGTCTCCTGGAATGAATGACATACATGTACTGTACCAAGTACAGTGTGTGTAAGGCTACATTGTAGAACCTGCCCTTTGAATGGCCATTCTGTGCCAGTGACTATATAGCTATAAAACTGCAGCAGGCAGCAGAGCACTGCGTTCTGAGATATGAGCTCAGAGACCTCCACACAGCTGAACTCTGTTTTACCGTCCAGTGTGTAATATTGAGGAGGAACTATTGGCAGAAAAGGAATATAATATTCATAGGTATGTTTTCATTAGTATATAATCACCTGAAAATAAGAATCGTTTTGTTTTTCTCTTTCTCTTCGTCTTTCTTAGAATAAGACATTTTTATTTACAGAAGGAGTCGATCCTCTTCTTCCAGAGTCCACCATGTTAATTTGTAATTAATGTTATACATCATCAATTGTGTTGATAAGTTGCAAGAGTTTTTTTTGTGACGTTGGAAGTTATTTATTCCGTGTTTTGAACAACAGTTGAGGTGGCCATAGTTAGAGACCAGCTTTGTTTGTGTTGGCCACACCCCTTGGAAAACTATATTTTAGATGCTATTACTGTCCATTAAATTATATGCTAATTACCAGAGATAAACTAACTGCATTGTTTATGGTTATTCTCAAATTATAATTTTTTATGTTTGTGGTATTTACCTATTATGCCTATAACTTTTTTGCATCAGAAAAAGGTTGGGAGCACTTGTTTTTGGTCACTTTAGTGTCCGATCTTACAGAAGACCTTGAATCACCTCATACTGATTCCAAGGTTTGGAATCAGCAGAGCACAACAGCTGTCAAAGTCTGAATCTGGCTCTTTGTCATTAGTGACAGCTCTTCTTTCATGCAGGTAACATACAGTATACGAAAAGCTCAATGTACGGCCATTCAAGCTCTAATGGAGAAACAGCACTCCATGGACTTTTAGGGACTCTGCCAAAAAGAACATACAAGACATAAACACTTAAAGACAACTTCATCACTTACTTATCAGTAGATAGTATGGAAAGGTAAAATACATGATTCTGCACGAGCCAGCACACAATTTATAGACCCGTTTTAGGAGGATTTTAAGCCCTTTCTATGCTGCCACTCATTTATCTACCCAGAGTACCAATGAGCACAGAGGTGTTCACTGACATCAAGGTAACATTTTCTACCTTCATCTATCTGTTTATGTATGTCATGTTGAAAATATGTAGATCTGAGCTGTCCTACATGGGATATGAAGAATTTCATATGACATACAGAAAATGTGTAAACACATTTCCATAGCACCACATATTTCAAAATCAGATTATCATTATCCTAAAACATTAAGCAGTGGATTTTGTAGCTAACGTAAGAAGTGATGTCTCATTTCAAATATAATCAGTGCGTAATGGTCTAATGGACATGGGCGGCTGTGGCGCAGAGGCAGCGCGGGTTGATCCCTAATCAGAAGGTTGCTGGTTCGATCCCTGGCTCCTGGTGCCACACGTCAAAGTATCCTTGTGCAAGATACTGAACCCCAAATTACTCCCAACTGGTGTGTGAATGTGGCACGTAGTTTGAAGACTAGAAAGGTGCTACACAAGTACAGGTCCATTTACCATGTAGCAAAATGATCTAAAATATAATTCTTCTTTTTAGGCATCACCATACAACTGGCACTAGGACTGTCTACATCAGTGGTTCAAAACCTGGCCTGGTTGTATCATTATCAGATAAATGATTAACAGGATAGAAAAGCAAAAAAATATATATTTCTGTCCTAATGCAGACTTTACTGAGAATGTGACCTCCTAATGTTGCCATGAAAACTATAAATGAATCTTAGAATTAAATTGTTCTTTGGTGAACAACTTGTAGAGTTTGTTTTGTTCTAAGTGGTCACAAGCCAAAACGTTAAGAAACCACAGCTCTTCTTCACAAAATGATAATTGTTATAAAGTGGTGAGCAAATGGAAAAATAGAGCCACGTTCTTCCTAGTTTGAGTGCAGAGCCAGTTTAGGTCTGTTCCTAGGCCCTCGTCTATGTTGGATGTGTTTCAGATAGAACAGAAACATTTCCATTCAGCAGTCTAGCTGTCTACACTGGCATAACTGTGACCAGGGCCATTATTTTTTTCTGCCAAACACCGCTGTGCCGCTAGTGAAGACATGCTGCATATGGTCATCTCTCATGTGCTTAGCAGAACACATGTAAAATACCTTTCCTTCAGCAAATAAAATGTCTAAATCTGAGCTGTTAGGCTATAATTGTCATATAGAATAAATAATGTAACTACAGTAAGAACAGCAAGATCTACATGTGTCTTTGCAGACAGTTGTCACAGTAACTTCTCTGTCTTCACTGGGTTTTTGGACGGTGACATCTTTTAACAGATATATTCATACAGTGATCTACTCCAGCTGCAAATGCCACAAGTTGATTCTTTTTCAATTGTTTGAGGCTTTATAACAGGTAATACATAAATTATTAGTATCTGAATTTGACTCAGCTCAATACAATACAAACACAGTCCTGCGTTTAACCACTACAACCTGATTGGTAACCCTCCCACTAACAATAGCACTATGGTAGAACACGAGGTGCTGGAAATGAAAGATAAAATACCAACTCTAATCTGAAGGCTCATCAAAAACTGGACCATCACATAGCACTTTCTGTCCTGGTGCTCCTTTGAGGCTGGACTTGACACCACTAGAAGTCTCATTTCTTCCCTCCTCTCAATCAGTACACTGCTACATTTTACACTCTGTTCTACCTGGTCTGGTCCCTTGCACGTATTTGATTTGCCAACAGCACTGCACTGCAGGAAGTGTTGTGTCATTGTAATGAATGAATGAGGAAGCCTGCATTCATTTTTGCCACAGAGTTATTGTGGATGTGAAAGCCTCACCTCTACATGGTAACATCTACTGTGTGTATACTCATCTTATTATTATTATTTATTATTATCACATTTGCTCAGCACATCCCGGTTACTGCACCTTGAATGCCTTTTCTCTCTCTGCAGTAGGTGCAGCCAGTATGTGTTCTTGCTTGGGGCTCAATGGCCAACAAATTCCACATGAGGTCTTCTAAGGAGTTGCAAGGGGTTTTTAATCTACATTTAATGCCAGTGCCTCTATATAAGCTACATAAACAGACCACCATTGAGAATATTGGCTTTTTCTATATAGTTATGCTTAATGTCTCCCACCAGGTCAGATTTGGTCAGATTCCCCTTAAAATCAATGAAACAAGACAGTGGAAACACAACCACTTTTGTCCACAGGGGCCGCCAGAATCAACACAAAAATACAGTTCCTTGTAGGGGCTTAAAATATAAATTAAATTACATAGATTTCATAATCTTCATAGTTTTATCATTTTATATATCTTAATATACACATAAAGTCAATTCATTGTTTCTAAGTCATTAGAGCCCGGCTGATATAATGTATTGGCCTATTGCAGACATAACTTCTCCTGTTGGTATCTGGGTTTCTGTTATGGGCTCACATGAAATTGTCCAGCATAAAATGCAGAAACAAATGGTTGTGGTAATATATGGTTGTCACTGCAAAGTCTCAATCAATTATGATTTTAATAAATACTGTGGTGAGCAGCACAGGTTAAGAGAGAAGAAGCAGCTCTCAGCAATGTCAACTACATTTGGTTGACAATGGTTATGTTCAATTTTTAACACGTTAAAGAATATTTAACTTAAACATTCTTTAATACAGTTATTTGTTTAAGAAAGCAGCCTTCACATTTGCAGACATTTACATAGAAAAGTTCTATTTTCATTCCAACTAAAAAATTCTCTATATTAGCCGCCATTACCGATTACCACCATATCGGTAATTGGTATTGATTAGTTGTAAATGACACGTTTGCGCATCATACAACTGTTAACTAATATGCTTTGGGGGCAAAATATTAAAGTAGTTTGATTAATCCTTGCTTGTGCCACTAGTGTCACCCTTCAATATCACTTTTAATAAAACAATTCATAGTGCACTCTCAAATATAAGAGGGTAATGGGGGAGGGGTGGGGGCCATAAAATTCTGCTCAGGGCCCCAAAATTGGCTTGCGCTGGCCCTGGCCAAGTGCCCAAAGTGCATAGCACTGAGAAATGGAAGGATTGGATAATGAATCGGACATTTTGTCATTGAACAGACATTGGGCTACAATGAATAAATCATTTCTTGGCAGGTTCAAATTTGTTGTTTACCAGCCCTTAGCAGATGAACCAAAAAGTGTGTAGGGACAGAACATGGCGGGGGTATTTAGGGGGCACTGTCCCGTCTGGACATTTTCTTCATGAACGGGATCCCTAGAATACATGCAAGAGCACAGACAGAGCCTACTGCCAAGGTCAGTCCTCCTGCTCCTCACTGTCCTGCCGAGCGTCTGTCCTCTTCTCTTTGTGACAGGAGAAAATCCGTCGCATCTCTTCCTCGTACCTGATGAAATTTTCTCCAAATCGAGCCCAGGCTTTTAGGGGAACTGTAATGGTGTTTCTATACGGCTGCCGCACTTCGCTAATTTTTAAAAAGATGCCATACCGGTTAGAGCCGACGTCAAAGTAAAACCTCTTGTTGTCCACCCGGAAGGATGCAGCTTCTGGAAGTTCAGGGTTGTCGTCGTGATTCCTGGATCCGACTCGGCCGCGGTCGTCGCTCTCTTCGTCGCCGTAGTCTTCGATCAGCTGTGACAGCGCGTCTCTGAACTCGATGAGCCCCTGGGCGGGCAGCACGATGGTCTGCTCGATGCCCTGGCCGTAGTAGCCCATTGTACCATGTCCTTTGCTGACAGTCTGTCGTATGCGGAGGAACCTGCCTCTCTGGTTCTCCTTCAGGTCAAGAAAGTACTTTCTGTTGTCTCTCTCGATGAACTCGCTCTTGAGAACGCGGTGTGCGTGGTCGTCGGACACCGCAGAGCCGGTGGGAGACAGCGCCGCGTGCTGCTCCTGCGCTCTCCTGCGGGAATCGTGCGCGCGGCCCTGGCCGTTGTTACTGTGCTCCTCGAGCTGCGGAGTCGCCAGGCCCCCCCGCAGTCCGATCCGGGCATAATAATCTATGAAGTCTCCCAGGCAGTAGCGTAGAGCGGGAGCCATGGACATAGACAGCGTCAGCTTGCTCTTCCTGATGTTATCATGCCGGCCTCTTCCGATCCATACCTCGGCTATTTTGAGGAAACGTCCGCGCACACTCTGCTTCACATCCAGGTAGAAGCGTTTCTTCTGGATGTCGACGCGTTTGGAGGCTAACTCCTGGATGTCATTGCCCTGCTGCTGTGATCCTGTCTGCACATATTGCTGAGTATATGCGGATCTCGGTAAAGAATCTGATGCAATCTTACCCCTGCCTCTTTCCATCCCTCTGCAACATCCATCAGCCATCATGATTTATATTCCACTGTTACACAGCACCGGACAAAGCGCTTTCCCCATCCCAGTGGGCAAATAATAGATGAATGTATAAGGCTTATTCATACAACTGACTGGAGCTACAAACAAGTTAGCGAGATGCCTCGAATGACCTAAAAATGGCAGCTAGTGTGGAGTCATCAGCTGATCGAGTTTCTGTGTCCCGAATAAAGGTCAAGCTAGACTATTTATCCATTTCCACTGCAAACTTCCATGCCGTTTTCCCTCACCTATTTGCCTTACAGCTTTTGCCGAGGGAGCCAGGGAAGCAGCCAACCTGAAATGGGAGGAGGCGTCCAATACTACATGAACCCGATGAACCCATCCACCCCCCTCCCCGTCCTGAGAATACCTCAGTTAAAGAGACACGATTTACTCTTTAGTGACTGTAGGGGCAGCTGTAGTTCTCACGCAGGATACACTGACTCCATCTGCATCAAGGTCCTCTGCAGCCATTCTTAACTGGAATATCGATTAATGAGAAATGATCAGATCATACATGCAGTCCTGGAGTTACTGAATAATGAGCTGATGGTAGAATTCAGGGCAGTAATTATAATGTGTATTGGGGGAAACACCTTCCATTTCTCAAAATACCACTATATATATTATATATATATATATATTGATATAAAAAATAAATTAATAAATGCTGTTGAATTAAATAAATTTAAAATAATAAAGCAATAAAATTGCAAATGACAAATTACCATTTCTACAATTCGTGTCAAACATTGTCATCAGTGCCTCATATTCACCAGATATTTACCTCCAGGTGTTTGCCACTCTGAAACTCCTGTAAAACAAGAAAGCCCCTATCTAGAGTCCATTCTGGGCCACTGTAGAAACGTGGTGGTTCAACATGACGGAGTCCATAGAAGAGGACCCGCTCCCTCTGCAGATAAAGACATCTCATTTTAAGGTAATGAAAACACAACCATTATTATTTTCAGGTGATTATACTCCTAATTATACACTGATTATACTGATTACTAATGATTACTTATTACTAATACACTAATTAATATTATATTAAATTTCCGCCATTAGATCCTACTAAATGTTACACACTGGACCTTTAAAGCACATTATCAACTGTACAATAATATCACTGTCTTGTTGGGGAGGCTTTTGTATAAATCAAAATTAAATTGTGTTTAGAAATGCATGTGACTGCTGAATCTGCTGCTGCCACCGCTGCTTTCAGGTACAGCTTCTGAGTCCCAGAAGAAGTGTCTGCAATTCACACCCAAAATCGGTTGTAGTTGAATACTGGGTTCAAGAGATATCAATCCAAACGAGATAATGGTCAAAAAAACACGCAGAAGAAGACTGAAGATAACAATGCTTGCAGCAATCACACAATTAGTGTAATTATTAGACAAAAACTGACCTCTACAGCACTAACCTATGTCCTGTTTCTACAATGGAGATCAAACAATTTATGAACACTTGATTTTTTCAGAAATAATGTTCATTGCTCAACATTTAAAGGATTTTTTGTTGTGGTTATTCCATGCTACTAGAACATTTTACAAAATAACCAATGCACTTCAATGAAACAACATTTTTTTGCAGAAAACCAATTATCAAAATTAGAGAACAGCAATGACTATAGCACGGAGAAAGATTATAGCAACATTTTCTGAAGGTTACAACAGTCAACAATTAGTATGAACTGTACAGGCCGTTGCTTTGCATGACTTCAGAACCTCTCCGACCACAGGACATCACTAGTCTCTCACACTGCTTTGGTATGATTTTGGTCCACTCTTGTTCCAGTCTCTTCCACAGTTCAGTGACTGTAGTGGGTTTCTTGGCCATAACTTTGTCGCCAAAGATTTTGTATTTTTTTCTATTGGGTTTAGATCAGGACTCTGGGCTGGCCATTTCGTTATTTCAGTGTTTTCAGTTTCAAGGAAGTGCTTTACCCGTTTTGCTGTGTGACGGGGGCATTGTCCTGCATGAAAATTGCTGGCTGATTGGGTGATGAAAGCAGGAAAGGGACCACATGTTGTCGAAGAAGGTTCTGATAGACATTTGTATTCACTCTGCCATGTAGCTGTATAAGAGGCCCAACTCCTACTGCAGAAAACATTTCCCAAACCATGACACTTCCTCCTCCACCTTTCACTGACCTTTTAACACCCTTTTGGTTTAGTCTTTCCCCAGTTTGAAAACAAACATAATGTTTCTCATCGTACCCAAATAAATTAAACTTGCTTCTCTGTCCACACAACATGCTCCACAGCAAAGGTTAGTCTAGCCTTTTGATTCTTTCTGCCAATGACCTGCAGGGTGGGCTTTCAGTCCAAATGCTCTTAAACATCGATACACTGTATGATGAGACAGATCCTTACCCTGTTCAGTGCTGAACTGGCGAGCAATTCTAGCTGCAGTGTTGAATCAACTGCCCACTGAGATTCTTTGCATTATCCTGTCCTCTCTTGCATTTGTCTTTTGTGGACGACCACCCTTCTTGGGGGACTTGAATGAGTTTGTGACATTGTAAAGATGCAATATTCTAGAAATCACAGATTTGGAACGACCAACTTCTCTTGCTATGGCTGATAGGGTCATCCCTTTGGCCTTCATCTGGACAACCTGCTGCCGAAGGGTTTCAGTCACTTTAGAACGGCTCACCATCTTGCAAAGTCAGTGAAAACTGGAAAGTTAGGCTGCCAGATAAATAGGGTTTGTCAGATCATTAAGGACATTAGCACCAGGTGCCAGATTATCTCCAATAACTGGAAGGTATCTGAAAGTGTTCTCTAATTTTGATGTGTTCTTTTTCAAATATCTCATTTAAGTTTTTTATACTGTGCTTCAGAGCATATGTAACTCGTGAAATATGCTTAAAATACTTTTAATCCTGTTTGGATAATTTCAAATAGGACTACGCAGTGACCTTGACATTTAGGAAATTGTAGATTGTTCTCTAATTTTGATCTCCAGTGTACAGCACAGAGCTCTGTCCTGACTTGGGTATTATTGTCAAATGGACTCAATCAATCTTTATTAACTGTATCTGAAAAACAATTATTTTCAAATTATTGGACTTGCTAAAACGTAGGAAATAATGTTAATATTAATATCATTATTGTTACTATTATATGATTCAAATAAACAATATATGTCCTGTATCTGTCCTGACCACTGTGACTTAGGTATTATTGTCAAATAGACTCAAGTAAATCTTTATTTACTGTCTCTGAGAGACAATTCCTGTTAAATTATTGGACAAATTTAGAAAATAAAGTTATTATTATTATTATTATTATTATTATTATTATTATATACTATTCGTTCGACTGTTCGACAAAATAAAGAGAAAAGGAGATAATGTCGGGACATACTGTATGCACACATTTTTGACAAAATGTTAAAAATTAATTTATCTGGTGCAAAATTGTCACACATTTTTACCTCATTTCATCACTTGAGACCGACAACAATGATAAATGAAAATGTAAAAAAAGAACATTTCATGTAATTCATATAATTTCCATATGATTTTTTTGTCACAGTCACAGGGTGCCACTGGAGAGATGCTAAAAAGAGCTCTAGGTGGCTCCAGAGCCACAAGTTGCCTACCCTACCCCTGGAAGTCCAGTGCGTAGGATTAAGTGGCATCTAGAGCTGCTGCAACTCACTCACTTCACCCTCCCTTTCCAAGCATGAGGGAGAAACTACAGTGGTTGTGAAACGCCCAAAATATGTCAAAGGCCCCATGTAGACCTAGTGTTGGTTTGTCCCTTCTGGGCTACTGTAGAAACATGGCGGTTCAACATGTTTTTAAAATAAATGGCATTAGAAAATAAGAAATATTTCAGTGGCAGCCATGATAAGAATCTTTCAAATTCTCTACATGTTAATAAAAAGGTGTCTCAGTGCTTCCTTTCTTATCTCCTATAGCAGAGAATACACTGGACCATCCTTTACATATTAAAAGAGATGTCACCCCAAAATTCCTTGCGGCAGCAACATTCAAAAATACACATTTAAAATTCAATTCAAATCAATTCAATTTTATTTGTATAGCGCCAATTCATAACAGAAGTTATCTCAGGACACTTTTCAAATAGAGCAGGTATAGACCGAACTCTTTATAACATCATTTACAGAGACCCAACAGTACCACCATGAGCAAGCACTTGGCGACAAGGGCAAGGAAAAACTGCCTGTTAAAAGGCAGAAACCTAGGACAGATCCTTCGGCTCTAGGTGGGTGGTCGTCTGTCTCGACCAGTTGGGGTGAGAGAGAGAGAGAGAGAGAGAGAGAGAGAGAGACAGACAGACAGGTGCACAGCAACAACAGTATTGGCAATGGCAATCTAGCAGGACCATGGCAGGAGGCTCCACCAGGATCGATAAGAACCTGCGAGACGAGAAAGCACAAGAACTCCGGGAAAGAAGTGAAGTTAGTAACATGCATAGATAGTCTAGGCCTATAGCAGCATAACTAAGGGATGGTTCAGGACTCACCTGATCCAGCCCTAACTATAAGCTTTATCAAAGAGGAATGTCTTAAGCCTACTCTTGAATGTGGTGAGGGTGTCTGCCTCCCGAACCACAACTGGGGTACTATGAGCTCTGCTCTGATAATTTGGAAGAGCGCCATTTCCTTTCAGATTTCCTAGCTATTTGCTTTAACTGGCAGGTTTGGTGGTTGTACAACAGTGCTAGTCTCCTATGTTTTAATAATTTCCTTTTTATAGGAGCGATAGAGTCTAATGTTGATCGTAGTGAGCCTGTAGCACTATCAACAAGATTATCAATTTCAGAGGGACTAAAGTTGTTATAGGACTCTGTTAAATTCAGACATGGCATTGAATTAAACACTGAAGGAATCTCCTCCTTAAATTTAGCTCCAGCACTGTCAGATAAACATCTGCTGTAGGAAGTTTTGCCTAATGGCTTACAATCTAATAGTATGAATTCAAAAGTTATTAAATAATGGTCAGATAGGAAAGGATTATGTGGGAAGACTATTAAATGTTCAATATCAATGCCATATGATAAAACAAGGTCAAGAGTGTGATTAAAACAATGAGTTGGTTTATTTACACTCTGACAGAAGCCAATTGAGTCTATTAATGATATAAATGCATTACTAAGGCTGTCATTGTTAACATCCACATGAATATTAAAATCACCTACAATAATTACTTTATCTGATTTAAGGACTAAACTTGATAAAAACTCGGAGAATTCAGATATAAAATCAGAGTACGGTCCAGGAGCGCGGTACACTATAACAAATAGAACTGGCTGCAGTGTTTTCCAGTTTGGGTGAGAAAGACTAAGAACAAGGCTTTCAAATGAATTATAATTAGGGACCAAGCCAGCGGTCCCTATTGTTTTTGCTCGATTTCTTCTTCTTACCTATTATTTTTAGCCCCCATTGACTGCATTTTTGCCCCCCTGAACATATACGAAAAGTCAATTTTATTTGGCAAAGTTGTCAGGCCTGGTGAAAATGGGGATATTCTATGTGTCGCTTTCGGGTTGGCCACTAGGTGGCGCTACTATCATAAAAAGTGTGTTTAGGCTAATAACTTCTGCATAGTTTGTCACACATTCATAAACCTTATATCCACGCGTTCAGTGAATGGAGCTGAATCTCCCCATATAGGCCCCGCCCACTTCCGCCTATAATTTTTTTTCGTTAGAGCGTGAAATGTCCAAAAGTTGGCCATAGTGAATTCCGTGCACATTTTCGGTGAATTTTTTGCCTTGTATTTGAACAAACTCCTCCTAGGGAATTTATCGGATCTGCTTCAAAATTGGTCAGTACAGTCATAAAATGGTGCTGATTAAAAGTTGTGCTATTTGAGACTGTACGTTGAACGGCGTGTCTGTGGCGTGAGGTCAAAGTTGGCCACTTTGAATTCTGTCGTCATACAAACTGATAGAAAAGTTGAGCTGTGACTGTACATTAAACCGCGTGCCAGTGACAACTAGTCCATTTCAGCAGATTCGCCATAAAATAGTACTCATGACTTCAGTGTGCAATGTCCAATCTCCAATAAACTTCATATATTCTGAAACAGTTTTGCCCTGAACACGTCCTCATAACTTCAGCATACGTGGTCCAGTCTCAATGAAACTTCGCGTCTTTGATAACACTCTCGCCTTGAACATGTCTACATGACAACATTCAGACATAGTGATAGCGCCACTTACTGCCAACAGGAAGTAAGCGCTGCATGGCGATCTTGAGCTGATTTACGTGAAATTACCGTGCCGGTGACGACTTGTTGAATTCAGCTGATTCGCCATAAAACAGCACTCATAACTTCAGTGTGCAATGTCCAATCTCCAATAAACTTCATATATTCTGTAACAGTCTCGCCCTGAACACGTCCTCATAACTTCAGCGTACGTGGTCCAATCTCAATGAAACGTGTGTTATAAGAGTCCCGCCCTGAACTTTTCTATATGACAATATTAAGACATAGTGATAGCGCCACCTACTGGCAACTGGAAGTAAGCACTGCGTGGCAGTTTTGAGCTGATTTACGTGAAATTTCATGTTTTGGTCCGCACGTGTAACAACGCGACGCGGCCGCAGCACGCCCCGAGTTGTGTGGAGTGCGAGGTCCCGCTCAACGCTGCTTGCAGCTTTAATTTTTATTAGATTTTTATGACAGATCAACTTCTAAGTTTTTGTCCTTTTTTCTTGTATGTTTTGAACTCTCAACAATACGTTAATCCCATAGGCGAACTCTCACTTAATGTGACACTACTGTTGCAAAATCTGTAAATATTTTTATTGTCCTTAAGTCACAGATACTGAAAATAATGATCAGGTTCAGAATGAGTTGTATTGTAGTTGTAGTTGTATGTGTGTATATCGCTGATAAACAACACAGTAAGAATGCAGGTACAAAGTATCTAAAGTCTGCTTTTTGTAGTCCATCTTCACAACGTTACATTACGTTAATCACATAGCGTAGTAAAGTGCAGTCGTATTCTCTCTGCACTGTGGTTGATAACAGACAAAAACATACTCTATACACCTTAAAAATAATGCTCAGGTAACATATTGTAACACACATTGCTCCCGATGCTGTGAATGTGTATGAATGAGTTAGTTTCCGTTCGATGGGCTTTGCCATCACTGTGTGAATGTGTGTGAAAGGGTGAATGTGGCATGTAGTGTAAAAGCACTTTGAGTGGTCAGAAGACTAGACAGGCGCTATACAAGTACAGGTCCATTTACCATTTTGTCCTGGAGCTGCCTGCTGTATAGCCCATCCATCTTGAAACTGTGCTTCATACTCTTGTCATGTTTAGAATGTCAGGAGACATTTTGAAATGCAACATGTGACATTTGCTAGCTCAAACTGTCCACATACATGTGGAGTATGTTTTGGGCATTAAGTTACAATAAAGATATGGCTGCATCAGTTTTCAGTAGTGCAAAGCTAGCAAACTACTGCTACAAGCTCTAATTCACATTGCACTTAACAGAGTACTCTCCCCCAGCATCCTCGACTATTTTAACTGGGTAAGCGCAAAAGACATACTGATACAGTCTTCAAAAAGACATTTGACATTAACAAAGGCACAGAATCATTCACATAGATGACACATCTTGGTCTGTCTGTGTTCTTACTGTGGCCTGTAGCCACCCAACTGAGGCATGTAGCTGGAGACTAGGGCCGCTGGCAGCCCGTCAGCTGACTGGCCGTCTGTCGGTGTCGTCTCCTCTTCCAGAGGACAGAAGTCCAGAGGCTCCAGTACTTGCTGCTCCATCTCCAGCTGGTTGAAGTCAGCAGGATCTGCGCTGTCTTCATTCCCTGCAGTGTGTGTGAAGCTGGGCTGTCGGGAGAAATGCTGGGACTGTCTGCTGCCCTCCTGCAGCAACATGTCCGGGTTCTCCTCAGAATCCAGCAGGGGCTGTGTCGACTCAGACCGTGAAAAAATATCCTGCTGTGGTTGAGAGCTCAAGGTTTGGATGGTACTGGCTGTGGTATCAGCCATGTCCCCACCCTCGTCACTGTCAGACACACTCTGGCAAGGTGAGGACATGCAGGAGGAGCCGCCAATGCCGCTGCTGTGCTCTTCAGACAGGTACTTGTCCTTCTTAAGAGGCAGACTGGCCTTGTCGTCCTCCGGCCAACATTTTCCATCACACACATCTACATCAAGCACACTGATGCCAGACAGACAGTTCTCCTTCGGTGTCTCTGTCTGTAGAGGAGGACAAGTTGGAAAGAAATGTTTAGTTATAATCAGACTACAAAGACTGGAAATTACATGTTTATTAGTTTTACAACCCAAAATACAACATTTGACACAATCCTTAGGGCTATACCTATTTCAAACAACCCACAACAATCTGGGTGGTTGTATTGACCAAGAAAAATGGATGCACTGAAAAATAGACCATTGTAAGTAACTGTAAATGATAATAATAAACTTTTCTCTGGGAATATCAAGGGTGCTTTGAAGTGAGCCCTAAATTCTCTAGGAGTTTTCCTGCTTCACTACTGTGTCAACTCAGTTCTGGTCGTACAGCAGCACTGTTGATGTGCTGATATATTTTACAGACAGAAACAGGAGATTAATTGGCATAAACACTAAGTTTACATGCACAAAATATTGCCGCTTTTGCCCTCATTCTGGAACAGACAATATTCCTACTGAGTTGTTATTATGGCAAATTTAAATGAAAATTCCACTAATATTCCGATTTGCATACACCTGCTAAGGAGTAACAAGGACTAATACAGGGTATATGCAGGAATCCTGAAGTTAATTTCAATACCTTTTTAAGACTTTTTTAAGACCTTCCAAAAAAACCTTAAGACCTCATCACCACTTCAAGCTGTCGTTAGCAGCAACACATCTTTAACTTACTAAACAGTTGTAATTTAAGTAGTTTGCAATTAAATCTATGGAGCACAAACATACAACAGAACTTAGATAAGATGAGAAGGAATAAAGCTTGAAAGAATAAATTAAACCAAAGGCAGGTATTTTAAAATACACAAAATACATAACAAGTAACACAGCTCTACAGCTCAACTATCAGCTATTCAAGGCAAACTTGCTGAAAACAACAATAACTTGGTGAAATTACAATATTACACCAATATCAAAACTCAGGACATGTGCCTCAGTTCGTGTGTATTGCCTTGCATCAATTTTTTTTTTTCATATACACATTGTAAATAGCTTACTGTGGAGTGCGGTAATTGAAGAGGCAGGAGACGGAGATGCTTCGAGTCAACCTAAACAACTGCACTCTAACCGAAACTCTAACAGTCAACCAACTGTCAACTGGAACTAACTGTCAATTAACTGTCAACTGGAACTAGTAACCGTTAACCTCTCACAGTATCTATTATGGGTCACCACATTACTTAAATAAATGCACATAAATGCATATTATGTACATAATATCAGACATATCAGGTTATCTCACTGTTTTTACATACTTTAATCAGTCAAAATATGCTATGCCTTCACATTTCACATGAAAAGCTTCAGACAAGCGCGTTCATTTATATCCATTAGCAATGCTAATTTGCCAGCTAGTTTTCTAGCTAGCCAGGTGATTCGCCAGTTAACTAGTTTACTAGCCAACAGGCTCTCAGTTAGTTGCTTTTCCAGCCGGTGTTTCAGTTTAACTGGTGACCGTGTTAACGGGTGACTTTCTCACATTTTAAGATACTTTATGAGAGGTTAATACGTCTTCTGAACACAATTGAACTTACATAAATGGTTAGATACTTAGATATTAAAGACAGATGAAAAATTATTAAACTATAAAGTCCTTTTTAGGAGAACGCCTACGTGAAAGTCATCAGTTAACACGGTCACCAGTTAAACCGAAACACCGGCTGGAAAAGCAACTAACTGTTGGCTAGTAAACTAGTTAACTGGCGAATCACCTGGCTAGCTAGAAAACTAGCTGGAAAATTAGCATTGCGAACTCTTTTTAGCCAATCCATAAACTCCGGCATATCCAGCCAGGAGTCAGCGAACTTAAGCGCTCGGTTTACTCGACGCAGACCAACTGTCGCGCAACAACGTGAGGTCACGGGAGCGCCGTGACTATATATACTTGCGCGTGGTGGTCGCGGCACTAGTTGCAGTCTTCTCCTGAACAGAGGTGTCGCTAGTGAGGAAAGGCTCTCGACTTTGCTATTTGTACGCACTAGAAGAAGAAAAAGTTTGTTTTTTTTGGTTTGTTTTTTCCAAATCGGTTGCAGAGGTTCTTCCAATTTTTCCGGCATATGGCCTTCTCTTTTCCAACCTGAACGTGCGCCGTCGCAGGTATGCGCACGGCCCTGAGGCTATCTGGCAGTCCGAGGCTGTGTCCGAAATCACTCAGTCACTCTGTATAGGGAGTAGCAGGGACTGATTTCGGACACAGCCCGAGCACTACACATCGTTGTTTGTAATAGTCGCAAGGAGGAAAATAGATTATACATTCATGGATACTTTTTGTCAAAGCTTGAATGTCAAGAAAATGTAATACTTCATAAAATCGCGATTAAGACTTTTTAAGGGCCTTAATTTTCCGACATTTGATTTATCAACTTTTAATACTTTTTAAGACCCCGCGGACATCCTGTTATAATAGGCTAGTAACAAACGATCAAGCTTAATAATGGATCGATAACATTATTGGCTGTCGGTGACTTTAAACTTGTTTTATGCTGTTTTAGTGTTGATTGTGTTTTTAAGCCTCCTAAAGCCTCAGAATATTATTATTCACTAAAAAATTTAATATCGGGAATTATCTGTATCTGGTTTTTATAACCGATGTTTGTTCCGTAGGCTTCAGCATTTCCGAGCCTGCATGAACGCAGCATAGGACGTTTACTGACACGCCCTAGATGACGTATAACAACAACAACTTCACGCTAGACTGGTTGGTTGCTAACCGTGGCTAACAAGCAAACAATTTAAAGCTGAATGATTTTAATATTAACACAAAATAAGTGCAATGCACCTTAAGGCCCGGACACACCAACCCAATTATCGGCCATCAGACGGTCGGGCGAGGTCGGTGACTCGATTCGGTTCGGTGTGTCCCATGCCGTCGTCAGTCGGCGTTCATTTAGTCCGATTCGACATGTAGAATCGGCCAGTGGCCGTCGGCCTCAATGACCAATCTGATTGGTGGAGTGCTAGCCCTTGACTAGCGAATCAGTGAGTGCACGAGAAAACCGGAAGTGACGATGGTAAACATACTACGCCAAAGCCAGTATCTTGTTATTATTAGCCATCGTATTTTCCGTTCAGCGAGTAATGACAATAACGGTCCTTCTTGACTACTATCAACACTCTCTGATGAAAACAATGATTGACCACAGCACGCTCTGTGTTTACTAGGTCTAGAGTGATCCGTCATTTCCGGTTTTCTTTTTTTTTGGGCGACAACACAGATTAGCGCCACCTGCTGTTATGGGGACGTATTACACCTTGCGCACGCGCAGAACGTACGCTCCAGTCGGCATCGGTTTGGTGTGTTCGGAGGCACTTTTTAGACCGACTCGGGGAGACGGGAGTCGACTGATCAGTCCGACTGCTTTTCTGCCGACGGTCGGCCGTCGGGTTGGTGTGTCCTGGCCTTTAAATATTTTACCCTGCTATGAGCTGTTCCTTAACCAAACTAACAATTGACTTAGAATTTAGATTAGCACTCCTTCAGGTGCATAATACAATTAAACACATTAACCAAAGCTAGTGCTTAGCTAGCGCTTAGCGCATAACTAGCGCTTAGCGCATAACTAGCGATTAGCGTTAGCACTCTTTTCAGTATCAATACAATGAAAGTTGAAGTTGTTCTCTTATTTTGCACAGACAATGTTTACATTTGGAAAGCCATGCATTTATGTATGCATCCAGTGGGGCATCTCAATAAAATTAGGCATAATGTGTTAATTCCACAATAGGAGATATGTTGTTACCTAACAGTTTTGGTGTAAAAAGCCTGCATATATCAGTATCGGGTGATATCGGTATCGGAAATTGAGAGTTGGACAATATCGGAAAATCGGATATCGGCAGAAAAGCCAATATCGAGCATTCCTAGTCATGTTTCTTTTTCTGGAGCAGCATCACTTTATACTGCATTAAGTTTATAGTATGGAAGCCCATTTAACTCGACGATCCTCGCCACTGTGTGTTACTACTGTATGTTACTACTGTATGTTACTATATTTGCTTGATAGACATGTCCTGATGGTAACAATATTGCTATGTGTGAAAATGAAATGGTTAAAACTGCAGGAATGAATTTGTTTGGCAACATTGTGTAACTTTGATTAGCACAGAAGCTACCAGGTAGAGAGCAGTCAGTGCATACTGGCCGATGAAGTTAACCTAAAAACAATGTGTGGATGTTTCCTACCAACCAATCGATAAGTTGAAGAGTAGGTAGAATTACAAATGACATAGATTTTCTTTGGTTGACTACACCCGTAGAGTTTTTCTTGCAAGTAACGGTACAGATTCAAAACACAACCAAATCAGGATCAAACATTAGACAAACACACAGCATTATGGGCTATTAGTTTACCACTGTGAAAAAAGTATTTTATTGGCACTTTTGGCACAGAATTTGTTTTTGTAAAGGACAATGTTCTAAAAATTGAGCAATGAGTATTCAGTACATAACAATGGTTTAGATTTTTTCAAAAGTTTTAAACTGATGGTATGCATTAAAATGTCTCCTCTCTGTGATAAGAGTTAAACCCTGCCCTGTACAGTAAGCCTAAAATAGATAACAGATGGTTCAATGGTTAAATACTGTACATGTTGGAACCCTCGTGTGCGGCGATGCAAAAGAGGACCTTACTTTCAGAGGATAATCAGGAGACCAGTTTCCAATGGTGCTCTCTCCAGGGTTTGGAATCCGAGGCCAGAAATTGTCCTCGATCCTGTAAGAAAGGAAACACTGAGGGTTATATACTGTATCACCTATATCAAGGCTAAAAATACCATACTACTATAAAATGTATAATAAGAACATTTTTAGTCCCAATGTATCTGAGCAGTGGGGTTTACTATGGACACTGTTCAATAGTTAAAACTGTGGACTGCCCTGTGGCTTAAGGCCGGGCATGCTCAAAATGAACTAGTTCATATGACCACGTCTGAGGGCTAAAGGGTGGTTATGAATGCCAAACTCGAAAACGAGTTGAAAACCTCCTGTCTTAGAGAGCAATGAGTCTAATGGGGACACTACGTTTCTCCTCAAAGACGTGGAGAGCTTCAAACCGTGCTCTGAGAACAACATGTTTACATGTTTAAGTGTAACTTACACATCTTTTTTGTTGATACAGAGCAGCATGGTGAGTAGGACAACAAACAGAAAGCTGAGGCACACTCCTACCACAATGCCCTCGATCTCTCCTGTTCCTGGGGGGAAACAAAGAGAATATTTATAGACGGTAACATTCTACCAAGATAGGTACTCAGTGATAATATAAACTGCAACCACATTAGCTCAACTGCTGTTCAGTTCCTGCCATAATGCATGTAAATAACAACAGCCAATCAACATGTGTGTGAGTTCAATCCGCATCACATCTGCTGTTGTTTGTCTCCCTGTGGATCCAGGCATTCACTGCATGTTTTATATCAGTGCTGGATTTCTTAAAGGAACAGTAGGTAATATATTAAATTACATGGTCAATTTGATACATATTTTTGTCTGAAGATGTTTGAGCACAAAGAAATTCAAAACTCAACCAGGGTTGGGCGCCCAGTTAGCTCAGTCAATAGAGCTGGCGACCCATGTACCGAGGCTGAGTCCTTGCTGCAGCTGCCCAGGGTTCAAATCCAGCTTGTGGCTCTTTGCTGTGTGTCATCCCCTCTCTCAATCAGGTTTGAGAAATGCCAATAAATGCATTTAAATTGGTGTTTAAAAAAAACATACAGTAAGACTTTAATGAGGTTGCATGTAAAATGTTGTGTCTCTTGTCACTTTTCAAGTTAAGGCCTTTACACACTGGGAATGTTTTTTTCAATTAATTCACACATCAATATATTTTTGCGGACCAAATGATTCTCATCACCTTGTAAAAGATGACAAAGGATTTCTGTAACCTGCCAGTCCCTGTCCTGCATGGTCCGTGGTAAGTGTGTGTATGGATTTTCTTATTTAATTGTGTCACAAATTTGCATCGCTGCCGGTATGAATGATGTGACATATTTGCAATTCAGTATGATGGCAAATTTTGTCACAGCCCTGGGGTTTAAAGGCCATTAGTGGGATATTTACAAAGGCTACAGATGTACATGAACCCAGTAACATGTCATGTGCAGTTCTGTGCATATCTGAAAAGGAAGAGAACACAGAAGTTTTCTCTGTTGAAATAAATACCACAGGTGGTCAAGATGGGTGTATGCATGATATTTTTTCTAATATCTGGAAGTACAAACTGACTTTGGGACATTTTTGAAACAGGAAAGGTTACTCACCATATTTCAGAGTAGTAAATGAGTGATTAAAGCCTCTCTTTGAGCCTCGGATGGTTGAAGCTATGACCCAAGTATCATACTTGGTGCTGCGTGACAGTGACTTCAGAGTGTATGAGGTGGTGTTAGCTGGCACTGTTATGTCTGCAAGTGAGCAAATCAGAGATCAGCACCTAAGACTGTCAGGAAAACCATCCCTGTAGTCCAACATTAAATAGAAAGCTGCAAATATTCAGGATACCACATGACAGCTACATACTGTGTGTTTTGGTCCCACTTGTGTAGAATATCGTGTAGTTTGTGATGAAGCCTCGTCGGCTGTGTTGGGGAATCTCGTTCCACACCAGCTCTGCCTCGTTACATCCTGGTTTACCTTTAAGTTTAACAGCTGGGCCTTTCAATGGAACTGCAAACACAACAGCAACATAATGTGTTCTACTCATACAACTATAGTTATATAGCAGTGCAGCTATAAAAGTGCAGTCCATTCACCATTTAACTGTGGCTTATCTGAATTCAAATATAGATCAGATGGCCTTCACATAATCAAACACCAAGGCTTTCGGGGGAAATAATGGCAATGGAGATGACATTTTGTTGTGTAAAACAAACAGACGTATGTATGAATAAATATTAGACAGGAGAACACAGAAACTAAACAACTAACAACAATAATAAACATTTAATTAAATATGACAGATCACAGAAAAAATATTTGGAATTTACCAGGTAGCACGCTCCATGCATTTATGGAAGATTTAAAATGCCTAAATGAAAACTAATCAAACAAAGTGAAATACAGTACACATAGCTATTTATATGATCTTTTTATGTATGCATTTACTGTGCCATACTAGTATAAAAAACATATGTTCAATGACATTAATTGAAATGTATGCCTTTAATAACATATTGCATTGTTTTTGGTTGTGACTTGATTTGTGCATTAAAATCACAACACAGAAAAACAAGGAGAGGTATATTGCATCATTTCAGGGTTGTCCAGCAGATGGCAACACACACTGGTCATGAAGACCTGGACGGCGTGTATTCAGTACTAGAAGGTTTACGTTGTCCTCTGCTGGACAGCCCTGAGCTGATGCAAAACAAATCTTTACTTTATCTGTGTTTTAAATTAAATTTTTACTTGCTTTTAATATTCACAATACCTAAAAATACAATGATTTACTTCTTATGAGTCACTGATAAGAATGTAATCTTACCTCCTTCCTCCAGAAAGGCTTCTTTACTCGCTGGCTTCCCAGTCACTCCAGAGTATAATGGATACACAGATACAGTGTAACTGACAAACTTCTCCAGGCTGCCTAGATTTGACATTGAGATCAAATTAAATGTTGTTTTAGAGCCTGTAGACACTCACAAAAATATGTTAAAAAATATAGTATGTATTTAGGTCCGTATCTAGTACGACACATCGAGTATAACACACCATTGGCTTCAAAAGTGGCTGTTTGTAAGTTAAACTTAAGAACAGCCGCTGTCAAGTTTTCAGTGGCCAAAACAGAATCCAAAAATCTAGGGCCAATATACAAACTATAAAAACTGAGCAAATATTTTCTCGTGATGGTGGCAGCAATATGTTGATTATTTATTTTTTCTCCATTTATAACCTTTATTGCCGGTTGCCATGGCGCTGCCGCGAGTGGCAGGCCTTTCAGCAGCTCCGAGTGTGCAGTGATCTTTTTTTACTATTTAGGGACCGAGCCAGCGACCGCGAGGAATGGAGCTGAATCTCCCTATATAAGCTACGCCCACTTCCGCCTGGATTTTTTTTTTCGTGTTCCATCCATGCCTTTTGTCCGATTAGCACGAAACTTTGCACATAGCATGTGGAGACCGTCCTGGCAAAAAAAGTAATTTAAAGTATTTTGATATTTCAAAGAATAAGCACGTTATAAAATTAGCACTTCCTGTTGATTTTTCTTCAAAAAAAGAAGTGGGATATTTCTCTACATTGGTATGTCCGATTGACATCAACTTAATGTCAATAGTTGGTAGGATGATTGCCCATGGCTCCCTGAGGCTCCCCTAAAAAGGAAAAACAAAATCACTCACATACCAAAAATCGTGTTTGTAGCGCCCCCTACAGGATTTTTAAAAAGCAGCCCCGGCGCCACGTTTCACCGATATGTAGGAAACTCGGTAGGCATGTGTAACGTGCCAAGACGTACAAAAAAGCCTCTTGGACCCACTCCCCAAAACCCACAGGAAGTCGACAATTTTCATTTGAATTTTCACTCTTGGCGGCCATTTTGTGGTCATTTTCACTTTTTGGGCTTGTACACTCCTGAACAAAATCTTAAGACCGCGGGAAAAATGACAAGTATTCGCATTTCGCGTTGGTGGAATATAACAAGAGTGTAAGTAGAGCTTCAAAATGCCAAAAGAAGAAACAGGAGCAAGAGACAAAACAATAGCATAGGCAATTTATTGAAAATTGCATTTAAATTCAAACAGGCTATTCATCAGCTGATCAGAGTTTAAGACCATAGCCCAAAAAAACCCCAAAACAGAACTAAAAGTGTCAAAAAAGGACTCAGTAGTGAGTAGCCCCACCATTGTTGTTGATCACTTCAAAAATTTGTTTATACATGCTTGATGCGAGTGTTTCCAGGAGGATGGTGGGAACGTTGCTCCATGTGGTGAAGATGGCTTCACGCAGGGCATCCACGGTCTGGAACTGACGTCCGTTTGTGTAAACTTCCCTTGCCATCCATCCCCAAACGTTCTCAATGGGATTTAGATCAGTGGGACACGCAGGATGGTCCAAAAGAGCAACGTTATTCTCCTGGAAGAAGTCCTTCGTCAGGCGGGCGTTGTGAACTGCAGCGTTGTCCTGTTGAAAGACCCACTCATCACCACACAGACGAGGGCCCTCAGTCAAGAGGGATGCCCGCTGCAACATCTCCACATAGCCAGCCGCAGTTTGACGTCCCTGCACAACCTGAAGCTCCATTGTTCCATTGAAGGAAAAAGCACCCCAGATCATGATGGAGCCTCCTCCACTGTGCCGCCTAGAAAACATCTCCAGTGGGGTCTCCTTGTCATGCTAATAACGTTGGAAGCAATCAGGACCGTCAAGGTAAACATTTTTCTCATCAGAGAATAAAACTTTCTTCCACCTTTCAATGTCCCATGTTTGGTGCTCCCTTGCAAAGTGCAAACAGGCAAGTTTGTGGTGTGGGAGGAGATGTGGCCTTTGAAGACGTTTTCTGTTCTTTAAGCCCTTCTGTCGTTGATGCCGTCTGATGGTTATTGCGCTACAGTCAGCATCAGTAAGGGCTTTAATTTGGGTCGAGGATCGGCCTGTGTCTTCACGGACAGCCCGTTGGATCCTCCTTGTGCAGCTCAACAATCCTGCCACGTTCAAAGACAGAAAGCCTTTTTGCCTTTGCCATCAGGTGGTCATGAAGTGTGAATGCCTGATAGAAAATGACAGGAAAACCAGATTTTTGCACAGATTTGGACTTTTTAAGGCTATGGTCTTAAACTTTTGATCAGCTGATGAACAACCTGTTTGAGTTTAAATGCAATTTTCAATAAACTGCCTCCTCTATTGTTTTGTCTCTTGCTCCTGTTTATTCTTATGGCATTTTGAAGCTCTACGTTATGTTCCACCAACGCGAAATGCAAATACTTGTAATTTTTCTCCCAGTCTTAAGATTTTGTTCAGAGTGTATTTGAAGGAACTCCTCCTAGGGAATTTATCGGAACTGCTTCAAAATTGGTCAGTACAGTCAAAAAACTTTGCTGACTGAATGCTGTGGTATTTGTGGCTTTACGTTGAAGGACGTGTCCGTGGCATGCCGTCAAAGTCGGCCACTGTGATGCCATTTCTGGCATTTCAGCGTTCTCTTTTAAATAACTCCTACTACAGGTTTTATCGGCCCGACTTCAAATTTGGTCAGTACAGTCAAAAAATGTTGCTGACTGAATGCCGTGCTTTTTGTGACTGTACGTTGAAGGGCGTGTCCGTGGCGTGCAAGCAAAGTTGGCCATTTTGAATTCCGTGGTCTTGTATTTGAATGAACGAACTCCTAGGGAATTTATCGGATCTGCTTCAAAACTGGACAGTACACTTGAAAAATGTTGCTGATTAATAGTTGTGCTTTTTCTGACTGTACGTTGAAGGGCGTGTCTGTGGCATGCCGTCAAAGTCGGCCACTATGATGCCATTTCCGGCATTTCAGGGCTCCTATTTTTCCTCCTTACTCCTACAGATTTTATCATATTGACTTCATATTCGATCACTACAATCTAGATGCATTGGTGATCATAAGTTAATCAAATATTTACTGTGCATAAAACTGTGTGTCCGTGGCGTGGTGCTGAATATCCACCTTTTGCAGTGAAGAGTCTCTCTATGAAAGCCTAAGTCTGTTGCAGTGTCTGAAACGTGTGACAACGTAGAGTGGTCTCCCTCAGCTTCTGGCGACGAGGGCTTGGGAGTTGGATGACGTGAAATTTTCATGTTGTTGTCCGAACGTGTTACGATGGCACGTGACGCGGCCGCAGCACACCCCGAGTTGTGTGGAGAGCGAGGTCCCGCCCAACGCTGCTTGTTATTGTTGTTTAGATATGGATGTTTATTTATTTAAAGTCCTGGGCCGGTGTAGTTACCCATTTACCTGACAAGGTGAGGAGACCCTATCGTGGCTGCAGAGCCGGCGCAAAGCTAAAGGCCAAGTGACTGGCCAGGAAGTGGCGATATACACCCTCGGTACCGTCGGTAATCATGGGAAATGTGAACTCACTGCTGAATAAGATCGACGAACTGGCTGCGCTGGTGAAAAATCTTAAAATCTACAGGGAGTGCAGTTTTCTGTGCTTCACTGAAACGTGGCTAACGGCTAACGTCCCGGACGTTATGTTGAGCTACCCGGCTTCAGCACAGTCAGGTCGGACAGAGACACTAAAGCCTGTGGGAAGCTGAAAGGAGGCAGACTAACTGTATACGTGAACACAAGGTGGTGTAACCCTGGGCATGTGAACATCAAGATTTCCATCTGCAACAGGGACGTCGAACTGCTTGCACTGGGGAAAGCTAAACACAATCTGATTCTGCTTCAGCCATACTACAAACCAAGAGTGAGCAGACAACCCACAACAATGCGCTCATTCAGGAAGTTGTCTTTTGAAGGCTCTAACAGACTGCTTTGGTAGTACAGACTGGGATGTACTGCAGGGTTCGCACTGTGAGGACGTTGAGGAGGCTGTTGACTTCACTACTGACTACATCAACTTCTGTATGGATGTTGTTGTTCCTGTAAGAACTGTGCGCTGCTATGCAAACAACAAGCCCTGGATTACGAGTCACGTCAAGGGCCTTCTTAACCAGAAGAAGAGGGCCTTTAAAGACGGTGATCAGCAGGAGCTTAGATGCATACAGAGGGAACTCAGAGTCCAGCTCAGGGAAGCAAAGGAGCAGTACAGAGGATAGCTGGAGCAGAAACTGCAGAACAACAGCATGAAGGAGGTGTGGGATGGGATAAAGACCATCACCGGCTGCAGCTCAAAGCTGGGGACCCACTTGGAGGGACACGCGGAGAGAGCGAACCTGACGAACCAGTTCTTCAGCAGGTTCGACCACCCCATCCCGTTCACACCTCAGGTCACCATAACTCCTTCTGCTGCTGTCTTTCTCTCGTGCTCGCTCCCCTCAGGAGCCGCAGAGGGGCTGGTTGTTGGAAAAGTGGATCGGCTTGCTTTGTGCAAATGTTGTTTTTATTGAAAAATCATCCATTGTCGCCTGGCTTTGATGAGGGGGCGGAGAATTCGCATCAGCTCTGTGTTTGGCCATCAAGTGGTATTTCAGACTGGACGTGCTGCGATGATAGCTCAGTTCACAACGACAACACACACAGATCACTTTGGTCTTGTTAATGGAACCATTTGGAAACTTTTTAAAAGTAATCTTTCCATTCAGAATATTATTGGCATCCATTTCGGCGTCTCGCGCTCGCCATCCACTCAAAACGTAACGTCTACTACTGTGTGCAGCTGTTCTTTTGTTTCCGGTCTAGATCCGGTGTGGCGTTGTAGTTTTTCAACGTTACTAGTTGTTGCAACAGCATGTGAAAAAAACTACAAAGTTAAACAAATGTTAACCTCGCGATAAAAAAATTGACGCCGTTAAAATGGGTTTGCGTTAACGCCGTTAATAACACATTTAACTGACAGCACTAATTCTGTCAATTATTCCATTGATTAATTGAGTAATCAAGAACTACTTTTGCTTAATTAAAGCAATAATAGAAATAGAGCAATAGAGAAAATGAGACAGTCTTTTACATTATTTTTTCAA